ATGTATACAAGAGGCATGACGGCGCGAAAAATCTTGCCTGCAATGCGGGGGCACTTGAGTACTTACACCTACTTTGACGTGAGGTGCTTCGGGGGCAGCGTTTGTTATTTGTTTTGTTCGGGGTGAGGCCCCAGCCAATGCGATCAATCTGTGTCTCTACCAGAAAAGGCTTAGCAAGGTGCTGAGACCTTGCTCTTGACGCTGAAGGACTGCGGTTAGGGACACCGTGTCTTGCCGACGTGGCGCACAAAGCGTAAGGCTTGAATTGGTAAGGGTGCTAGAGGATCGCAGGTACCGAGGAACTTTACGCCCTCACTGTAGGAAGCAGTCTCAAAATGATGCTTGCAAAGGGTCAGGAATATGGGCTTTCCAACTTGCAACGTGGGGGAGAAGACTCCAACTCCTCCATCGTGCCAAACGAAGATAGGTCTGTTCGTGTGCTGTGCAATGAGTTGTGAAGCAAACGCATCACCCTACTGATTCTGTTGAAAAAGGAGTCTAACATGCCTTACATCATCAGGGGAGGTGTTGGGGTCATGTAGGGCGCGACATAGAACTTGTCGCTTGAGGGAATACCACTGTCTACCCAAAGGCTTAGCGACGGCCCCGCAAAGGCAGTTACCATCCCCTGCGGTCATCCTGGTGCGGATCTTCATCTTCGGGCAGAGACTCCTAAAGAAGCGCGGCCTTTTGGCTTAGATACGAACGGAGCTTCAGCAGCTTCAGTCGTGGGCACTTTAGCAGGCATAAGCAGTGTAGCCGCGACGACTTGTCCTCAGCTGAGGGCGAAGATCGTCCAAAGTCTGACGAGGAGGCGAATTGGCGTGTGAAGTCGGGCATGGGAGTGTGAAGTTGCTGTTGCGGCCGATCGGCGACCAAACGAGCGTGCGAACTCAACTTGGACAGGATCAGTGCAACAACTGAACAGCAAACAAAATTCTACGCCGCGCAGCTTGTAATCTATCCACTCCCCCAAGGGAGCTGGATAGATTACATTCTGGCAAGTGAAATCTGCAGAAGTATGTCCAGGGACATCAGGCAGCTTTTCGGCTGACACGTTAGGGCTAAGGCAAGAGCACTGTAGCCCCTTCCAGATGAGCAAGGATAGAATGACGCATCCATCATTCTTCCCAACCAAGACTGTCCTGCGATGTTTTAGGGACTCCGTAACAAGATTGTAGGTCACAACCAAGCCAATCGTGCACATGTTGGCCAATACATCAATGCATGCTATCGCGCCGATAGCAAAAGCAGTATTTCTGCACCAGGGGTCCGCGAACCAGGTGGCAGAATCAGCAATCGCGGATGTAATAACATCTCGAGGCTTCAGAGTGTCATCATTATGATATGGGACTGTGCAGTCGTTGTTGATGCATGCAAGCTGAACCTGTGGGCAGAGCCAACAGGCCAGGAACATCGTGAGCGAGAAATACGGCACGTACTAACGGCCCAAGCTACGTGGAAGCGCACGCTGGAGCTTGAGCCTATTGAGACCCCTATATTAAGGCCGAAGCCCTAGTTTATTTAAGGCCCCTGTATTGCTCTAAGCCCTAGCCCCAGCTCTAATCCCCTAAACCCTAAACCCCTTATACCAGAAACCCCTACTACCCCAAACGCTAAACCCTAATCATCCTAATCTCCTAAAGCCCGAGCCCCAATAACTCACTGGCCCAAAACCCCAGGGAATATACCCTAAACCCTCAAACCCTAAAACTCTAAACCCTCAAGCCCTAAACTCTAAAACTCTAAACCGCAATCCCCTAAACCCCTAAACCCCAATAAAAGCAGCTATGCCTTGGTTGGCCACCGGCCGTCTGTCCACGGCCTTGGGTGCTGCTCAGCTCGATACGGGTTTAGGGTTTAGGGCTTTAGGCTTTAGGGCGTTAGGGTTTAGAGCTTTAGGGTCTTGGGGTTTAGGGTTTAGAGCCCTAGGGTTTAGGGTTTCAGGGTTTTGGAGTTTTCGGGTTAAGGGCTTTAGGGTCTGGAGTTTTAGGGTTTTAGGGCTTTAGGGTTTAGAGCTTTAGGGCTTTGGGTTTTAGGGTTTAGAGTGTTAAGGTTTGAGTGTTTCGGGTTTAAGGCTTTGGGGCTTGGGGGCGTAGGGTTTTAGGGCTCTAGAGTTTACGGTCTTAGAGTTTGGGATTTTAGGGTTTTGGGGTTATCGGGCCTAGACTTGGGGCTTAGAGCTGAGGGTATAAGGTTAAGGGGTTGGGTGCACAGGTTTATGGGCTTGGAAGGTCCCCCCCACCCCCCGACCCCTTATTCCACCTCTTATGTGCATTTCTCCGCAATAAGGGTGCTTGGTCCAACACCCCAAATAAACCATCTCAGCTGGAATATTCCACGGAAAGGACATGTGCCGGGACCCACAGCAACAGCCGGAATTGTACATGCAACCCCCCAGGCATGGACGTAACACCCAGCTTCCCAAGTCGATTAGGTTCGGTAGGGTTTCCCCTAATTGTCCAACCCACTCCTGACCCGACATGCTTTCGGAAGCAAGGGCCGCGCGATCGTACATGTAGCCAGCCATGAAGCACACAACTCACCTGAAACAGAGGATAGGCACACGAAGCATGTCACGTTTACGCTTTTGAAACCTAAGCCCGAAACTGTAACATCCGGGTTCTCGAACCCTTCATCATAATGTCATATTCTGGTCTACGAAGCGCCGGAGCACTCGAAAAGCGAGCCTAGAAGGCACAAAAGCCACGGCCATGTAAACAAAGACCTGCGCCCCACTCTCTAGAGACTGAGCTAGAAGCCAACCAGAGCAGCCAAACATACACTTGTTGAGATCACATCTGCTAATAGCTCACACATTTAGGTGCTTGCTGGGGCTGACATTGATCTCAAGGTCGTGAACCCGAGACCCAGGGAGCTGCCAGGCCCGAAGATATCGGGCCTGAAAATAGACTACTCCTGTTGTGTGCGCTTTGTAAAATGTGTGCGGAAAATTAAGGGGATGTCGTTTCTGATTGCTCCGGCCCCTGTATTGTGTCCTAAATGCCTAGGAAACCTAACCAAGGAATGTAGCTTAAGTACCAACTATAGATCCTAATCGTGCGGACATATTTCTGGGTCAAAATCGGACCCAATCTTTCGATGAACTCTTCTTTCGCATTTCGCAAACAAATAAACAGCGTGACTGCTACCACCTCAAAAATGCCTAACCTCATAGGCCCGCCCGCTTGAAGACGAGCGTGTGCGTCTTTGAAGGGACTAAGCAAGGCTGGCTATAAGTATCTTAACTCCAGTTACCTCATTCACACCCCTAGCTACACCGTTAAATAGAGCTTAGCTCTAGCCCTTCATGCAAGCTTGAAGGCTCAGCACACTCCAGATACGTCGTGACTACACGGCCACACAACCCACAAGGCTTGTAATAACCAGCATAGAGTTTGGGGCTTCGATAATGTTTTCTTACTTGCGCAACGGAGCCAGAACATGATATTACTATCACTTCTGACCCCAACATGACCCTACACCCTAAATCCCAAACCCAGAGTCCCTCACCGCCCCAAGACCCAGATGCTCAAACCCCACACCCCTCGACCGGCACCCTAAATCCATAGCAGCCAAGCCACCACTGGCGGGAAAAGTCGAAGTCTGCTACTCCCTCGTCTAAGAGAGCCGAGTCGGAAGGCAAGTGCAACTTTCAGGCTCTGGATCCTAGTTGCTGAGTTCATAACCCCCCCAACAGTGTACACTTTTAGTTTTATAGTGGGTAATATTATCCCCCCAAAGTGGAAAGTGTATCCACTCAGCTACTAAGGGATCAATGAGAGCTTGGAGTCTCATCCCTAAACCTTAGGTAACTGAACTAGGGGTCTTTCTAGCCTGAGGCCTTAACGCAGAAGTCAGCAGAGCCTTCGGGTAGGTGTGATAAGTGAAATGGAAGTCTAGAGCGCCATCGTGTAAAGATGTGTAAAGTGCCGAGATGGGGCCTCATCTTCTTATTTTTGGTTAGTAGTGAATGGAAGAATGGTAGCAATAGTAGTTATAATGGTGCGCCAGTCCTCCATTCCCTACTAACCCAAGGTAAGTCTTTCGATGTCCCGAGGTAGTGAGTTGCAGACAATTAGGAACTCAGACCCGAAAATAATCAGCACACGAATCCGAATTACGTAGCCGTCACATGACAAGGATTTATACGTTGTCATTATAAATCGAAACAATTACTCGGCAGCGTGTGGCCGGCTTCGCCCGCAACAACCTCCTGAAACCCTGCTTGGCGGTTGGGGTTCTCTGCTATGCTACTTATCGACCCCTTGATGGATTCTAGCTGCTCATTCTGCGACCCCGTTTCAGACAGGCACTCAGGTGCAAACAGCGGCCTTTTGAATCTCTCTGCGCAGGCTTTGCGAGCTCTGGGACCTGACTTCACTGAGCTGCAGGTCTCGAAGATGCATCTGCTCTGAGATCTCTTGCGGGCGCTGTTATCACTGAGACATGCAGAAGCATGTCTGAGTTCTCACAGGCCCAGTGCATCCAGAACTCTCTGCACTGATAGTTCAACTCACTGGGCTTTCCAATGCTGTGAAAACCTCTCTACTCCCTGCTGCACTATGCAATGAGGCTTGCACCTCCGTCGACTCCATGACAAACACTACGTAAGCAAGAAGAAAAGCAGAACAATCTACCACCAGACTGACAACAAGAGGTAGTAGCAACCGTGACACGACAGAACCAGGTTCTGCAGCACGAAAGCAAAAGGAGATGGCTCCGCTCCGAGGCATCTCCCATAGGCCATAGCCCAAACCTATCGACGGGCTCAGTACACAGGACTTTCTCAAAATTCTGGTGGTCTTTCTGGGGCCCTTCCAGGTTCGGCTCGGCTATGTTGTCGTGGTGATGCATTCTGGGGGACCCAACTCCGAGAAACGGCGACTTCGCTTGAGGATCTTGTAACATGATAACCCGATCTGAGCTTGATCGACCTACAACAGCACCCTGGCTTTTGCAGAGTGCGCCTTCCCATCCCCCCTGGAAGGCAAATCTGTCTAAAGCTGGCCCCCATTCCAGCCGTCATCACCATCGCAGGAATCGGGGTGTCCCAACCAGCATCCATAACCATCGCGAAATTGCCACGTACCGCAGTAATCTTCTCCCATCCTGCAGCAAACATCCCTGCATTCTTCTTGGCTTGAGGCGCGGCCGATGGCAACTAGGCCTGAGCACTGCGATGTCTGTTTTTGCCATGAGCACGTGGTGATCTTGTCCAACTTGTCGGTCATCTTGTCCAACTGATCGTTTGCCCTGTTGTACTTGCCGGTCATCTGGTCCAACCGGTCATTTGCACTGTTGTACTTGTCGGTCATCTTGTCCAACTGGTCTGTTGCACTGTTGTACTTGTCGGTCATCTTGTCCAACTGGTCTTTTGCACTGTTGTACTTGTCGGTCATCTTGTCCAACTGGTCGTTTGCGCTGTTGTACTTGCCGGTCATCTGGTCCACCATCTGGTCCATGCTCTTGTGCGACACGATGAGAACGACAAGCGAGAAGACAAGCAAGAAGGCAGCAACACTCCAGGGACCGAATCTCTTGCGGAAGCCGAGCCAGTATGCAGCAGAGCATGGCAGCTGCCACTCCTTTTCCTTTGATTTCGGGATCCACAGAAGGGTCCACCAAGGCAGTTCTTCGGGTAGAACAGTGAGACTTTTGCAAACCTCCAAGTCTGGAGCTCGGCCGCAAGCAGCCGCCACTGTCCGGCAGGCACTGTTGAACAAGCGCAGTGCCGAATCGCTTGCCGGTAGAGTTTCACAGTGCTCTCTGGTGTGGTCCTGCACGCTCTGCGCCAAGGCTAGCCGCCAAAGCCCGGTGAACTCTTCAGAGCGGAGCTGCTCAAGCAAAGTTGCCTTGATCCATGAATCCAACTCACTTGGACCCCTGACTCGCGAGGCATCATTAGGGTCGAACATCGTCCACTGCGCATCATCGATGATGGCACCTGCTTCCTTGAAGGCGGCTTCAGCCAGCTCCTTGATGGCGGCCTGCAGATCTGGCAACTCGCTGAGCGATTCCGTGTCTGCTTTGGTTGCTACTGGCAACACTCTGATCGGGAAGCGCCCGTCAAACTTGAGCTTGTTCAGCTGCTGACTCATTTGCTTGGCTTTGCCCTGGTCGAACTGACGGAGCATAGACACCGGAACACAGAAAAGGATGATGTGAGGAGCGTGCTCTTTTGGCAACCCCTTCTCCCTCAACACCTCCTTGTACTGTGCATGGATGTCCGCACTTGTGTCGGGGCACCAGCCAGGTGTGTCGATTATTTCCAGTCTGAGCTGGTCTGAGAGATCTTCAAGACCGACCCCGATGCTTTGCGCTTTCATAGTTCTGTTCCTCAGGCATCTCATGGCACACCCCCGTGCTTAGAACATGTGTAACAACCGGCTAAAATCAAAATCTGCACACCTGCAAACCGCAAGCACCCCAATATCAAACCCTTCTTCCCTTCTTCCCTAAACCCTAGCGTGCCCTAGCCTTAAACCCTTCTCCCCAGTCCCTGCCTCAGGTGTGGACCAGGCTGAACTCCAGGCTGAAACTGCTCACCTGCCAAGGCCTTCACGAGAGTGGTTTTGCCAGCACCTGCCGGACCCAAAACCAAGCAGCTGTGAGTGAGGATGAGCTGAAAGGGCGTTTCCAGCACATTCTGGGTGAAGTCCGGCTTGTCGTCAAGGACCCTCGTGTCCCGGAAGCCGTCCCTGACAAATCCCTCAATCCTCTCCAGGAGCTTTGGAATCTGCGGATCACTGACGAAGGTGAAGGAAGTAGGGGAGGCCTGGGAGGTGCCCGACGGGCTGCTTGCGGAGCTGTTTGAAAGGAGCGGCTGATCCATGGTACTGCCGGGCTGAGCCATGGCACTGCCGTAGTCCCTGTTGCACAGCTGGATTTGCAATCTTGGGCCAGACTCTGCCTGCCACATATCCTCCTTGCTTCAGTTGCGTAACCCGTTTGCAGGCAGTCATGAGTGATTAAGATTGATTAAGCACCCATGCCCTTTTCCAGCTTTGGCGGTTGGCGCCAGCGTCGGTGCGATGTCCCGTATTGGAACACCTCGGCGGCAGACACAACAAAAGCTGCTCTTGCAGAAGATATCCCTGCATCTGCATCAGCTGCTACTACCATCGCGGTATAATTCAGCATTCGTCTAAGGGTCCTGAATAGGTCGGGGTGGCGAAATGGGGTGTAGGAATGATTGATGTGCTGCATTGATACTGTTGCTACAACTTCCGAAAGAATGACGAGTACTTGCTGGGCTTGTGATATACCCCTAAAGGCCCTAAACCCTGTGCAAACGACTAAGGCCCCTATATGGGAGTTACCCAAAATTAGGGGTACCTTATTTGGGAGTCCTTATAATAAGGATCCTACTATTTAGGGTACTATTTTGGGATCCCCTGTTTTCGGAAAGTCCCATATAGCTGCCGCCGTGTTGGGCCGGTCTCATAAAAACAGCAGCTCCGCGCGACAAACATCCCAAGGTCAAACCTACAAGCCACATGAATATAGTAGAATATAGTACTATTTTTTTTTGAACATTTAACATAGTATAAGTTAGGGGTTGCTCACATCAAAAGAAGCCAGCTGTATTTCCAAACCGTCATATTGAGGCTTTGTTGTGGCCTTATACGTCCCTGTCTTAGCCTTGTAATTCAAACAAATACGATAACGCAATGTGTGTTCTGAACCCTTGTAAGCACTCAAGGCTGGATGCCGCGGCATTGCAGAGTCACGCCCAGTATGTAAATAGTGCCTACTACGGGACGAGAGCATATCAAGACTACTTGTTTGGGCTCCTTCTGTTCTGGCGCTCCGCCCATCATAAGCTCAACCATTTGCTGCGGGGCTTTGTCGGTTTAGGTTTAGGATCCTGATGCTTTTTTCATGTTGTGAATGGGGCCCTGCAAAAGAAATAAATACAACACCCGACAACTAAAACAACGTCTGTTCAGGAAGGAGGCCACTCTTCGACGATGACGGAGCTTCCTTCTTACCATCGGCCTTTCCATGTGCTGAACATTAAATGCTTGTGGAAAATCTCAAGCCTCACCTACAGCCGAAAAGCCCTCACATATGACCTATGAGACATACTAATGAGAAGCTCCACCGCACCTGAATCTATCAGTAACTTCTAAGCAGGAGTTGAGCAAAGGTAGACTTTTGGGGCTACAAGCAGAGCCAGAGTTTCGAAGGGTTTAGGGTTGATGCTCTTGCAGACTTACTATACCAGAGTAGCAGAGTAGCAAGAAATCATGCGCCAGAACTGCCTAAATCTATCGCTTGGGGCTTCAGTTGTGGGTTTCAGGTCTACGGCGTGGGGCCTGGTGTGAGACTGGAGATTTAAGGATTGGGCTTCGGGGCTAAACGACGAGGATCTAGGGTGTGTTCAGAGCTCTTTTTTCTGACTGCTATTACTGTTATTACTGCCAGAAGTCGTACTAGATTACGAATATTCATATTGCTAGATTACGAATTTTGCTGAATAGGATTGAGGGATGTTCTCTTCGGGGTTTGCAGGCCGAAACCCCTCAGATCCATGACTGGACTCGACGCGAACACCTTGAAACTGCAATTCAAAGCCCTAAATCGTAGACGAGGTCTCATTCCATGAGGGATACATTTTTTGAAGGGGTGCTTACGCGACGGATGCGACGATGCGAAATGTAAAACTCAAGCTTCGGCAACAGGCTAAAAACCCTCTGAGAGCTCAAGCCCAAAGACTTCTTGTAGCCCGACAAAGCCCAGAAGCCCTCGTCTGAAAACACTAAAAGTCCTCAACACCTCGTGAGTCCCAAACCCGACCCCAACCTCCAAACCCCTAAACCCTACATCTCAAACCCCTGTATCCTACACCCTTGACCCCTGAACCCTAAGCCCAAAACCTAAATCCGAAACCCCAAAACCCTATGAGTCTCAAAACCGACCCCAAGAAAACCCTAAGCCCCTAGACCCCAAAAAACGTTAAACCCAAATGCCCAAAACCCAAACCCTAAACCCACAAACCCAAAACCCCATGAGTTTTACACGGCAACCCCAAAAAACCCTGAACCGTCCCAGCCTTCCCCCCTCCCAGCCCCTCCTACCGCCCCACCCCCACCCCAAAAAACCCACAATAAGGAATATACCATACTTCCCATAGCTTAGGGTCCTTAAGGTAGTGCAGGATTTATATCATCCTAAACCCTAAACCCCTGAACCGTCCCAGCCTTCACCAGCGCCAACTTTAGGCGCAGCAAAGGGATGGAGCCCCTGGGGTGGTAGGTCCCCGAGCAGCCTCGGGGGGTTCTGAAGGCAAGTCAAGGGCTTAGGGTCTGAGGGGTTTAGGGGGTTTATATTAAAGGGTTTTGGGTTTAAGGGCTTAGGGGTTTAGGGGTTTAGGGGTTTGAAGGGTTTTGAGTTTAAGGGCTTAGAGGTTTAGGGGTTTAAAGGGTTTTGAGTTTAAGGGTTTAGGGGTTTAGGGGTTTAAAAGGGTTTTGGGTTTAAGGGTTTAGGGGTTTAGGGGTTTAAAAGGGTTTTGAGTTTGATGGGTTAAAGGGTTTAGGGGTTTGAAGGGTTTTGAGTTTAAGGGCTTAGAGGTTTAGGGGTTTAAAGGGTTTTGAGTTTAAGGGTTCAAGGGGTTTAGGGGTTTGAAGGGTCTTGAGTTTGAGGGGTTAAGGGGTTTAGGGGTTTGAAGGGTTTTGGGGTTCAGAGCTTAAGGGTTTTGGGGTTTATTGTTTTGGGTTTAGAGTTGAGGCGTTTTTGGGTCATTGGGGGCTTTGGTATCTTGTCGCGGCCTAGGACAATGCAGGGGCCTTCATCGCTGGAGTCGGGCTTTCGGGTAGAAATTCCGGTGTCTCTTAGAGAACCTAAGGGATAATATTGGAAACTATTGGGACATGTGCATCAAACGTAAGCCGATGCCTACAGCAATAGATCTCGCACAGAACATGAGGGCTACTTAGAAAAGGATTTGGGGTAAAAAGGCATATGTTATTGAAACGATCGATCATAAGAAACCTGAAGAAAACACACGGGTACCATTCCAAGGCGGCTCTTCAAAACCACCCTGTTTCCAGGGCACCTCCATGGTTTGGAACATCCACATCCGCTGCTAGATCCGCACTGGGCACAGGTGTAGACGAGGCGCCGGGGGTCGCCGGGGCAAAAGGCATGCCGGGGCACTCGGAGGTACCCGGAAAAGCTTTCGGTGGTGTCATTGGAAGGCCCCCCGGCGGCGGTCCCGCCGCCAGGGCGTATCTGGGGCCACTGGCGATGGCGGCGGGCGGTACCGCTCGACGTTTTGCAACATCGAATGCCGCTCTCGCCTCTGCCTCCCTCTCGGCTTGGTTGGCAGCAAGCACGTCTTTCTGAAGACGTATCAGACGTATCATTGCGTGCGTCTTCGCACCAGCATCGGCATGACAAGGATGATGACGAGGCAGAACTAGTTTATGATGAGGACACTATGATGACGATAACGACGGCGACAAAACGCTAATGATGGGTAAGAGTGATAGTAGTGTAGGCTGCTGATGAGGAGTGAATAAATAGGAAGAATGATGATGAGAGGAAGATGGTGGCATTGTTGGTGGTTCGAGTAGGTAACCTTTAACTTAAAGCCTTTAAACCTTTTGGACACTATATTCCTTATGGAATCCCAATATACTCCCAAACGTTGACCTTAAACTTCAAGCCTTTAAACCTTTTGGGCGCTATATTCCCTATAAAATCCCAACATACCCCCTAAAAGGCTAACCTTTAAGTGTGATGGCAGCTAGGTGGTTGTCAAAATTATAGTCCCTCTTTGGGCACCCTAAATATTAGGTTTCGTAGTAAATTAAGGACCCAAAAAGGGGCCCTAATATTGAGCTACTTGTCGGGTATCATGGGGAACTAAAGGTTAACCTTTTGGGTTATATAGGCATAATATAGGGACTCCACTACCCAAAAAAGGTTAAAGGTTGCCTACTCATAGGATATACTACCTCCTACACTCCACGGCGAGGCCGGATCCGGCTTCGGATATCGAAGTGGCGCAGCTACAGCCGAAAAGGGCGAAGGGCCGATCCAAAATTCAAGTGTTTAGGGTTTGGGGTTCAATCTATAGGATGCTTAGGGTCGAGGGTTTAGGGTTCAAGTGCCCGAGACCACAATCGTGCTTTGCGTTTTCCGCTAGGCTGTTCAAGCGGTACCTAATCTCGGAACCTTTTACTCTTTAGCCCCAGGCCTGGGAGTGGGGGCAATATTGAACCCTACCTCCGCAAAGGAGTAGTACTTCACACGCTTACACCGACCCCATTTTCTGCACTAGTGTGTGTGTGTGTGTGACAACAAGACCCACGCGGCAAGCTTATAATGTTCGCCCACGGCGTCAAAACTTACTTAGCCAGCGTGTAAGTCACCCTTGCAGGGATAATCGTTATAATTAGAAGCTTATGTTCGTTTCCACTGACTCCTTGCCCCTCGACCCAAAACTTAATCCCCAAACCCAACCCCAGACCCAAACAAACTTCCTGAACCTTGGCTGTGATCTCGGAAACCGTTTAGAAGCGTCCGTGTCCCAGCAGCGGAGCTCGAATGGGTTCGCGGCACCGGCCCCCTGGAGAGCGGTCTGCACCACCTTTCCTTGGCTGGACATAGGGACCTCAATAATGATAAGGATGCGGTTTTGGAGTCCTTGATGGTGTAAGTGTATAGCCGCTACTATGTATGGGCTTTGGCTTGGGGGCATTAATGATGAGGATAGGGTTTTGGAGTCCTCGGTTTGGCTTTTGGGTTTTGTTCCTTTCTTTCCTTTTGGGGCTTTTTGGGGACAATCCTGAGATGCCTGGTCTTGGATGCCACAAAAGCTTACTTATGGTTGGTTGGTGCTTTTCAGAAACACCTATACGACAAGTGAAAACCATTTCAAACATTTTGACTGGCGAGGGTAGGCATGTTCCGGGTGTTCTGACAACATACATGTTATGTGCTGGCGTTCAGGATCAACCCTAAACCAATCATTAGGATTCATGGAGACATCACATGCAGGCAAGCGCTGATACAAGCATAGCACCGTCCTGATTTATTGCATCTAGATTCTAGATGCCCACGCATAAGACCCACGCACAAAACACACGTTGGTGAACAACAAAGGCAGGGAGGATACACACAGGAGTGTCCATGGCTCCCAGGAAGCGGTTTCAACTGTCCATTACCGATAAGATAAGGCTTCAAGTATAGAACGGCACCCTGAGCCTAAAGTTTCCATTCAGCATGGACTTTGGGGTTTTTGGAAGCAGCGCTAAACACAAACCGCTTCGTTCCGACGATTCTTCAATTCACTGTACCTGTTGTGGGCTTCCCTGACTTTGATAAAACCTGGAAGTGTTCCTATGTGCAGTACTGTGCTTTGGGGTTTTGGTGGCTGCATACTGGGCTACGGGGTGCCTGCATATTTTGTTGTTGTCATGGGGCCACTAATCCATACGTCACGTGCGGCCGTGCAGCCGCGCAAGTTGTGCTTGTCATGAGCACCAGATGGCGTTTCGATGTAACCTGGTGGAGGCACCCAAGGACACTCGAAGCCCTACACCCTAAAAGCCCAACCCTCGTGCAGTAAGGGATGTAATTGAATACAACAAAAGGGGTGTTGGCCACGTGCAAGGTAGACTCCTGAACTAAGGGTTTGGGGTTTTCTGTGAGTCGGATCAGTTGGGAGGTGGGTGCAACTAGGCAAATAGATATCGATGAGTTTGTAGTTACAAGCGTTCAACACACTTTACCTTCCTGTTATGAATGAAGTGGGTCACGTCGACAGGCCCCAAAAGACTCGACCCCAAGACGCTTCCACCCGGACCGCACATGCTGCCATCAAACATCATCAAACCATTATGGGGAAGGGCGAATCGAGGATTCTGACTGGGGGGAGGCTGCAGCAACGCCTACCGATAGGATTGAGTTGATGGAGTCGTTGCCCACAAGTGTACATACTCTACACCCTCAAGATACAACTACCTAATCCATGAACCCTAACCCGTTCGAGGGATTCGAGAGTACTTGAAGTCTCGTGCTCAGGGTGTCTTGCTGAAAACTGTGGAATGCTTGACACCTTATACGCTACACCTTCTAGTTACAGCTTTCGTTTTCTGCGACGACCATGCAATGAAACCTCGAACACTAGCCTTAAACATCCTACCAGAGCCATGAACACGCACAGGTACGAAGTATCCCCATGAGAATGCCCAGAATACGCACTGACCGCTGTTCCCAAAGAGGCCCGGTTACAAACCTTACTCCAAATCCTACCTAATAAACCATATCACACCCACGACTACTTCCGCAAATGGAGAAACTAAGTTCGTAAGGCTACCTCGTGTGGCTTTGTGATGCTCCAATGTAAACACATCACTCCCACGACTATTCTTTAGAATGCACCTACACCCTAGTGGAAACATGAGAGCCGTTATGCAAAGGCGCTTGCAGTAAACACTGAAAAGAACCCGACTCCAATGATCCCGACTCCTTTGCAGCAGGGCCATGTGATCTGCACCAACCCGAAACCAGGAACCCAGACCCTAAACCGCACCAACCAGTTCGACGGACGAGCCGCAGGTAGAGTCTGGGTAGATCTTGAGGAAAGATGCGGCCTGCAACCGGGCCCGAAGGCCAAGTGCTAAGGACTTCGGGCTTCGGTTTTCGGGTGCAGGGTTTGAGGTTTTTACGGTGTAGGGTTCAGGACCCCTGCGCCGAGTCCGAAACCCGCAAGAATGCTACTGCCATCAACACCCGAATCTTTTTTTTCCTCCCCCCCCCCCCCCGACACTACATAAACCCAGCTGCAGACGACATGCTCCCCTTCCTTTTCATTAAGAAGACTTGCAATATCTGCGATCTAGCCGTGATTTTGAGGGGGCCTCGAAACCAGACCATTGTGGACACCCCGAAACACAGCGGCGGGCTTCGGCGCTCTAAGTTTTACTATGAGAGTTTCCGAAATTGGGGGTACTTTATTTTGGGGCCTTATTTCTAGGGATCCTACTATTGAGGGTACCATATAAGGGTCCCCTGTTTTCAGAAACCCCTATATGGTGCCTGGGGCTCTTGGGTGAAACAGGGTCTCATGCTTCCTTCGGACTGCCATCCACCAGCACTGGCACCAACTGATGGGAGGCCAAAAGGGGGGTTTAAGATTCTTGGGGTAGGGATTCCTTAATATGAACCCTGTTCTGGGAACCATAATCCCTACTAAACCCCCATAGGCTAAAACCCCTTTTGGCCTCCTATGACCAACACCAGCACCGACAACAACAGCAGCCGCCGCAGCGGCAGCAGCAACACCGGCAGTGAGCGTGACATGTTCGTTAGTAACATTATCAACCACAAACAATACAGTAGCCCAATAGCTGATATGGCAGCAAACATGATGTGGCATAAGAAATAAGGTTCTACATGTTGTGCTATCTGATTTTGACAACACATGAAAACACAATCCTCATAAATTCGCAAAACAGAAATACTAACCATGATATTCCACTTGCTTGGGAAGATTGGCAACCTCTGCGTAATAACAACCCCCATACATGCACGCAGCAGAAAAACTCATGACAAACAACCCAAAACCCTAAACAACCAATGATGATGAAACGGCCCTTAAAGGAACCCTTGTAAATCCCTTTAAAGGGATGTTGGGGTATAATTATAATGATCCTTGCACAGTTGCTTTCTTGTCACAGCCTTTAAGAACTAGACCTAAGAGTAACCTAGGAATAAAAAAGGGTGCCCCTTTTGGTTCAAAGGGGCTGATAAGGGAACCTGAACCCTGAAAAAGGGAATAAGGGCTTACTCTGGGTCTTGGATAAAGCATTTTTTTAAAAGTTCAACACTAAAAAAAATAGATAATGATTAAAAACAGTATCTTCACCCTTTGAGCCGGTTGCCTCTCGGAGACTTTGCTCAGCTCGGCCTAAGAGCCTCAAGCAACCGCAGGCTCCGGATGTGTCATGTAATTAGGGTCCCTTTTTTTGGTCCTTCTTATGATAACAAAGAATTTCGGAGTATTCTAAAGGGAGTAGATTATACTATAAATAGAACAAGATAATATACTGATGTGTCATATAATTTAGAAGCTGCCCCCCACCCTGTAATAGTGACAAAAAAGGGAATATGATAGGGCCCTAATATAATCCTTATAGTCACTATTACAAGGTGGGGGCCCCTTCTAGCATATAACTAGGGTCCCTTTTTTTGGGTCCTTCTTATTAGGGTTTAGGGTTTAGGGATTTAGGGTTTAGGGGGTAGTTGTCAAAATTAAGGTACCTTTTTGGGTACCCTAAATAATAGGTGCCGCATCATAATAAGGACCCCGCAAGGGACCATAATTCTGACAATCACCCATATAATGATAATAAAGAATTTTGGAGTATTATAAGGGGGTATATCATACTATAAATAGAACGGGCTAAAATACTATAACTATGACAAGGAGCCCCCAACATCGTATAAGTTAATACAAGATGGGGATTCCTTGTTACCAATATAGCATAATGGCACCAAAACTCTATTGTATTAAGCTGTGGATGTGTCATAACATTATGACAAGGAGCCCCCCCAGAATAATGGGTAAAAACAGTAAGGAATCACCCAAAATTCTATTCTAATTCGTTCAGGTTTGGGGGTTTAGGGCTTAGGGGTTTAAGGTTTTTCATATACATATATTAATGAATCCTGCGAAAACCCTGTTCTAATTATTCAGGCCCCTATAGTACACGGCCTGTGGATGCTTTTGTTTCGATTCGGCGGGGCTTTCGAGGTAGATTGTACTACAAACAGAATTAGGAAACCGTAGGAATAATATTTGCTCTGGATGTTTTGTTTCGGTGTCGTTCAGGTTTGGGTGGCCTTTTGAGGTTAAGGGATAAGGGTTGACGTGACGTGTGGTGTGATAGTACAAAATGGCTTCGAGTATTATAAAAGGTTTGGGGATAGATTATACTCAATCGGAACCCCCGAGACCCTTTCCGAATCAATAAGGCCGCTACATTACCCTGTAAGCCTCTGACAATTACTGCGGAGGCGTGGCTCGACGAAAGATACCACACGTAGAAGGACTGTGGGGAGTAGAAGGAAGCTGAAAGCGGCTTTGGGGCTTTGGTTTCGGTCTTAGGAGAATTCGAGTTGGGTTTGACAGGACTTCAAGAGACAGCTTGAAGCAACCTGCCCTTACCTCCTGTCCAAGGTCTACAGGACAACGCTGTACTGCAGGGACTTGAACAATTAGCATTCTTATTCCTTGAACTGAAGGTCCCTGGTCTAGTGACATTCTAGCACATCCCAAGATCCTCGTGACGAAACCCTAAACCCTAAACCCTCAAACCCAAACCCCTAAACCCGGCTTAGAGCCCCTGAACCCTAACCCCAAAACCCTAAACCCTCGATCCTCGTCTAAACTAGGTACCCAGTAACCTAAGAATAACAAGGCCTCTCTTTTTGGTATTGGGTAACTTTATAAGGAACCTAGGACTACAAAAAGGGAATAAGGGTACTACTGGGCATCCTAGTAAAGGCGTCTATGGCAGCCTCAGGGCTGAGCTCCCTGGCCCCCAAAACTCTCTCCTTCAATAACCGGGCCCCAAAAAGTTTGAACTTTCTAAGATAGACCAAATGCATAAGGCTAAAAAGTTTAGAGTTCCTGCATTGGCTATCTAAGAAAAAGGCTAACCTTTTCATCAGCTGTTTTAGGGTTATATAAAACCAAACGGCTGAAGGTTACCTCTAAACCCTTCTAGTACCCTTCTAGGACTAGGAACCCCTTATAGAACCCCCAAAAGTTAAGGGTTACCAACCAGGCTACTGGAGACTTTGAAGCAACCAGGGAGAAAAAGGCAGGTGCCAAAACAAAGTATACAAGTATGGTACCCCAAACCCAGCTACGAAGTAACCGTTCCCTGCCCAGGCGCTTAGCTCCGGAACCGCCGCCCCCGGAGCCGCCGAAAGCCTACTGCGTCGCTTTCAAGGCTGAGGGGGTTGATGGGATTAGGGGTTGAGGATTGAAGGCTTTTGCTCGTTTTGCTGCTTTGGGCGGCTGATCCGGGATTTGGGGTGAGAACGGCTCTTGCCGAAAATCCGGGACCTACACACCCTCAACCCCAAACCCTCCAACACCCTAAACCCTAAGCCTAATATGCTGCAGACCTGAAGCTCCAAACTTCAAGCCCCAGGCCCAGTTAGTTTCTAGTGCTTAAGGTTCAGGGTTTGGGGGTCCATGGGCTTCGGAGTTTGCGGTCTATGGCCTAGGGGTTCAATGCTTCAGGTCTGGGCTGTAGTGTTCAGCGTTTAGGTTCATCGAAACCCCAAGTGTGAAAGCACGACTCGAAAGGAGGACCAGGGAGTCAATAGAGATGCACAGCCAGTCGACAAGGGTTCATAGCTACTTCTTGTGAAAGCACCTGGATAAACGTCGAATACACACTTTCACACGTCTTCCTGGGCTCTGATTGGGAATACTCCAACTTGTGGCAAACGTTTGCTGGTGGCAGTTTGCTGAGCCATCTGAGCACTCAGCATCGAGAGGCACTAGCAGCAATGGCTTCATTGATTCGAGAGCGTCACAGTACTAGCAAACGCGAGTGTCTTCAACTCCCGAATGTATCGTAAACCTTTCATTTCAGGTACCATCTTCAAGTTCTACGGACCCATGTAATGAAGACTCGTCCGTGTTTGTGCTACCACGGACCACGGACCCGTAAACATCTCGGCAAAGCCCTCTTTGTACTCTTACTATGCTAAGTATGCCTCTTCTTGCTATGATTCGTACTAGTAGCCTTAACATGAATCGTCAAATATTACTACTACTATCAATATTACTATTGCTACTCTTCTTGTTCTTATCTTAGTACTTTCCCACTAACAACTTTCATTTCTACTCTGAAGTTCAGACCTGTGGGGGCAGCTTCGCGCCGACTCCGCTTGGTGTGTCGGCGGGTGCACCGAAACCCCCACGGAAGAGGACCTCCAGGAGACCACTGGTTTCCCAGAGGGTCCATATATGGGAGTGTCCGAACATTAGGGGTACGTCATTTTGGGGTCCGTAGACTAAGGATGCTACTGCTCAGGGTACCATATAAAAGTCCCCCATTGTCGGAAACTCCCATATACACTACCACTGTGGAATTAGGTCCAAAAAGGCCCTGCCCGTTATGGTGTTGGGGTCCTAATTCCACAATAGTAGCCTATATGGACCCTCTTGGTTTAGGGTAGTTGAAGATCTAGGGGGTCTAGGAAGGTTTTTATGGTTGAGGGTTGAGGGCTTATACTCACTGGCCCAGAACCCGAGGGAATAAAAGCTGAAACTTTCAGAATCGTTCACCTTATCAGAACCCCAAAAGTTAAAAAGTTCAGTTTATAGCCAATAAGTATAGGGTTTAGGGTAATATATGACTTTGAGTTTTGGGCTTGGGGTTGAACCAGGGCTCAGAGAGTCTAAGTTTAGGGTTTGGTTAAAAGGGGTTTGGGATACAGTACATAATATGCAAATCCCGCCGTCCTTTGCGATCAGCACACAGGGGCTGAGGATTGCAAGTATACCCTTACCGCTAGCCTCAAATCCTACAACATGGTCGGATATCACATCCCCCGACCCCCCCCCCCCCTCCCCCCCGGAGGATCTAGAAAGTAGATCCCCTAATTTGGGGCCCTACTCCGGGTACTTTATAGGAACCCCCATTAAGGGATCTACCCTAAACCCTAAACCCTAAAACCCTATAGAGCCCTTAAAGAGACCCTTAAAAGGAACCCCCTTTAAGGGATCTACGTTTTAGATCCTCCCGGGGGTCTGGGTCTGCATTCCGAGCCATGAACTCCAAAGTCGCCGAAGTCACTGGTTCAAACAGACGATACCCTAATTTGCGGAAACTCCCATATACTTAAAGGATCATGGGACTTAGTAACTAGGGTTATAATTAGGGTAACTATACTTATAACCCCAATTAGGGTACTTATAACCTTACTTACTAAGTCCCATGATCCTCCAAGTAGGGACCTTAATAGTTAGAATAGGATTCCTTTTCGGGGTCCTTTAAAGGGGTCTATGGGGGATCTACAGTAGGGTTCTAGTATAGGATTTTGGGGCCCATTATACTATAGTTATAATAAGGAACCCCCGAAAATAATATAGGTAATTATTCGGGCTCCTATATTAGCCACGGTTTAGGGTTTAGGGATGTATATGCACCCTTAGCTGGGGACTCCTAGTTTACGACAGAGCCCTAAAGCCTCAACACTAAAACCCCAAACCCTAAACCCCTAAACCCTAAAACCCTAAACCCTAAAACCCTAAAACCCTAAACCCTAAAACCCTAAACCCTAAACCCTAACTGGCAACATAAAACCAAACACTATTTCGAAGAAGCCTCGCGGACTCTTTCGTTCCAAAGCTCCTTGCACTGCACGGGGCAAAGGAAATGCAACATGTGCATTAGTAGTAGTAGTAGTAGTAGTAGTAGTAGTAGTAGTAGTAGTAGTAGTAGTAGTAGTAGTAGTAGTAGTAGCAGGAGTAGTAGTAGTAGTAGTAGTAGTAGTAGTAGTAGTAGTAGTAGTAGTAGTAGTAGTAGTAGTAGTAGTAGTAGTAGTAGTAGTGGTAGTAGGAGTAGCAGGAGCTCGCGTACAGCACGAATTTCTCATGCATCTCACGCATCGCCAGTCTGAGTACCATAACACCCACAACAAGTACCACAACTAATGCATAGATCCTTTCAAGGTGTGGAGATCTTTTTCGAATACTTTCCGCTTGGACAACAGTTGCTGCCTCATGACCGAATGTTCGCACTGACAAGAAGAGAACAGTTGAAAGCCTTGCTATCGAGGCACACAATGCTTTGATGAACTTTCTGCTCGATAGTCCAGTAGTTTTTCCAGCTACAGTTGCGCTGGTTCAGATTTCTTTGTGCACTTGTCATCTTCTCCTCCACAGTAAACAAGATTCACTTCTCTCCCGCATCGAGATCTTTCGTGTTCGGGCGCGCCAGAACTTTGACTCCATCCATTTCCCATTCCTCCAGCGATTTACTGCGACCACGCAGCCACGCGAAAAATTGTGTTCTCCGTGCCAGGCTGCAAAACTCACACGAGCAAACCAAGGACCTTGCATATGCAGGCGCAAAAACACATAATCCTGTTATCCCTGCCCGAAGCATAGCGAACGGCACCTTTCGATTGATCGTGGCTTAAATATTGGGGGCCTTCATGATCAGAATCAGGGTTTCGGGGCCCATTACATACTTTGGTATTCTTGTTAGGCGCCGATATTTTTCTGAAATTCCTGCGAAAGCCTTAGGCTTCCTAAGCCCTGACCCTGAGCCCAAAATCCAAAAACCCTGAGCCCTCGATAGGTCCATGCCCCGAGCCTCAAGCCTATGTAGGGTCGGGATATGCGTGGTTGTAACCATAATTGCCGTTTAGGGTTTTAGGGTTTAGGGTTTAGGGTTTTACGGTTTAGGGTTTTACGGTTTGGGGGTTGAGGGTTATACTGACCAAGTCCCTGATTCATCCCATCAGCTGTTCCCTCCTATCCAGGTCCTCTGCTGCAGCTGCAGAGTCTTCGAACGATAGGGCACCATGCTGCTTCAGATACCTTGCGAAGGCTTGGGGCTTTGGTACCTCGCACTGACGACTCTGAGACTAGCAGCACCTATCACCTAACCATAAACTGCTGACATGTCCCGAGACCCTAAAAACCTCTACCCTAAACGTCAGGCTGTCAAACTTTCGGCTTTCACCCTGAGCAGTTGTGAAGCCTGACCTTCCGCCTGTGCAAGTACCTGGGAGACTTCTAGCAGAGGCTCCTTTGCTACGAAGGGCCGGTTAACGACTCCGGGTTCGTGAAGCTAGTTCATGGTTGGGGTAGTACTAAAAATCTACATTTTAGTTTGAATTTACGTGCCTATAAACTGTGAAATGTTACCCAACTATGACAAAGGAATCAGGGGTCTACATTCATGCAGGCCCAACGGAAGATTCCATCGTCAATGTCTGCTGCAGTATCCCCACTGGCCCAAAAACCCAAGGGAATAAACGTGTAAATTTTCAGAATCGACGACCGTATAAGAAAACCAAAGTTGAAAAGTTGAGTTTACAGCCAATAGGTATCTGGCCCTGGGTACTCCAGATCTTGGACCTGGAAGGCTACACTCAAGACCCACAGCCCGGAAGCCTAAACACTACTTGGGGGGTCGGGGGACTTAGTAACTGGTTATTATAGGGACTTACAAGTACCCTAACCCCAACTAGGGTCCCTTTTAGGGTACTTATAAGTCTACTACCTACCTACTTACTAAGTCCCCCGACCCTCCAAGTAGGATGCCCAGTAACCTAGGAAAAGAGAGGGCTCCCTTTTTTGGTATTGGGGAACTGTATAAGGAACCTAGGACTACAAAAGGGAATAAGGGTACTACTGGGCATCCTAGAACACTGAACTTGAAACTTTAAACCCTACCAGCATACGGGCCTTCATACCGAGAACAGGGCCTTGGGGGGTATATTGTATGAGACATAAACTGTGACTCGTCCAGCATCCTGGGGGAACTAAACGTTGACCTTTCGGGCTATTTCGCAATTATAGATCCGCCCCCCCCCCCCTTCAAAAGAAACATGTTGAAGTTTGTTCACTCCATTAACAAGAAGAAAACCCGAAACTTTGCCGCAGACCTTACACTCTGAACCCAGCCCAAACCTGAGACATGAAGCCCGATACCATGAACAGTTAAGAGCCTAAACCTTGAAATGGAGAAAGTCTGAACATGTGAGAGACGCCCGCCCTAAAGCTGGAACATGAAAACACCATGGAGGCTCCAAACCCTAGGCCCCTGAAACAGACAAGCCCAAGACCTCAATCAGCTTGCACTCCAAACCCTTACCTACTTGTCGGGTATCATGGGGGAACTAAAGGTTAACCTGTTGGGTTATATAGGGAATATAGGGATTATATAGGGACTGTACTACCCCAAAAAGGTTAAAGGTTACCTGCTCTACTACTAAGCTTAACCTTGGACCCTGAACACGCAACACATTTGACTTAAATGGTAAACCTTGGCAGCCTTCAACTTGAAACTTGCTAGAAATGCTAAACGCTTAGCTGCTGAATACCCTAAACCTGTAAGTCTAAACCCTCTAGACCCTGGGCTTAGGGCTCTAAAGCCCTATTCCTTAAGCTCTGAAACCCTGTTAAAGCCTAAGCCTAAGCCTCTGAGCCTCAATACACAGCAGCAGAACGGAACACTGAATATCCTAGACTCCAAGACCTGTCTGGTCCCTAAGCAACGTACTATAGGGGAGAATCGGGTTTTGGCGCCCAATACACTATAATGATAATGAGGAACCTACACTTTTACGATTTTGGCACTTTTGATCCTATAACCCAACACTCCAAGCCCTAGGCCCTACTGAAGCAGAGCTACACCCTGCACAGCTCTCGTTGCATTCTGGGGACAGACTTTTAGTGCACGCAGAAACACTTGCAGGACGCCAAAAGTACACACGGAATGTCAATGAATGCTTCGAGCCCAGGTGCTCGGTGAGTGCTGCACTCTCACCAGCTGCCTCTGCACAGTTTCGCAGGGGGCGCGCTGTACGAGAGTCCGCAAAGGGAAAGGTGGCATTCTTTGAGGAGTATGCTCGCGCACACTTGTATGAAAATGACAGGGTCTAAGGCTTTTTGATTGAGGGTTTAGGGGTTAGGACATTGACAAGTGTGGACGCGCTTCAATTCAATTATGCAAAGGTGGCTTCTGAACGAGGCGTTGTGGTGAACATTTGCCGCCTACACCTACACCCTAAATCCTTCTACTGTTGCCCTACTGATAACTCTGCTTTTCAAGTCCTGCGATCCGTGAAGCACTTATCCCCGAGACCCAGAAGCCCCAATCCCCCCAACACCAACCGGTGTGGGAATTAGAGATCGCGATTCAAGACTCGCCCGGCCTGCTGTATGTGGTCCAAAGCAGTTTGCATGTGCGAGTTCACCTTGCACATCACAGGCGCCAGGGTTCAGGGTTGATCATGGAAGTCGTCGGGCGCAGCAAATAGGTGGTTGTCAAAATTATGGTCCCTTTTTGGCTCCTTTATATATAATACGGCACCTACTATTTAGGGTCCCCAGAAAGGATGAAGATGCGGGGTTCGATGCAGTAAACGGGTAAAAGGAGGGACCCCTAATAAGGACCCCTAGGTACCCATACTATAGCCATGATATACCCAGCCCATTATAGGGTCCCTCCTTTTCCCCTTTGAATCAGGGTTGCCTCCAAGGGCATCAACAAAATGCGGCTGTAGGGCGGTAGTATGATAGTACATCAGCTGCACATCCCAAAAACCCAGACCATCCTAACCCCAACCCTGCGGCCATTTGGCTTTCAGGAGTTCAATAGGCTGTGGCTTATGACCCCAAGCCCTACGACTCCAAAACCTGAGAAATCACCGCAGTCAGCAGACCTGCTGAGGCAGTTTGAGCGACGAACGTGGCATCAATCGCCAAGCGCATACCCAAAGCCTGGAACTGAAACTGAAACTCCCCATGTAAATCCCAGGCCAGGGAGCATGGTTTATGCGAGCGCCGCTGGCAACTAGCCTGTGCCGTTGAGCGGGAACGGTAGAGGTTCTAGGAGTCGACGGTTTGGGATCCTGCTTAGAGGATCATGGGACTTAGTAAGTAGGGTTACAAGTACCTGAATTAGGGTTATAAGTAGATATAACTCTAGTTACCTTACTTATAACCCTACTGACTAAGTCCCATGATCCTCTAAGTAGACAAGTTCTACATTACAAAGACTTTCTGAACGTTCAACTCCACGGTAGACACTCGACCTCAACACCCCCCAAATCTCCAAAACCACAAACCCTATACAAACTCTATACCAAAATCCCTGAAACCTACGCCACAAAAAATCATGTTGAAACACAAAGATGTAACCGCAACACCCTTAATCCTTGTCGCTGAACCTGTAGCCGCCGAACCCCAGTCTGTCCCCTTACCCTAAAGGGAACTCCAGAAAGTTGGAATATGGTTTCATGGTAGGATACCCTATAATTTGCCTTAAAGGGGTTACGATAATGATATTCCAACTTTCTGGCTTCTACTGTAACCCTAGATCCTAAAACCCAAAAAGCCCAAAAGCATGCCAATACCTTCAGCAGGAGTCTCCTTACAACCCCCAAAACTCCGAGCACTCGACTCCTAGTCTTTGTAAACCCGAAGCTACGCCAAAGCCCTAAGGTAAAAGCCAGAAAGTTGGAATATGATTATCCTAACCCTTCTATGGTAAATTATAGGGTATCCTACCATGAAACCATACTCCAACTTTCTGGAGTTCCCTGTAAGCAGGAATATGTTGAAGCCCCAAGCCCTGCCCAAAAACCTCTCCCAAGCCAGGAGGCAGCGACAACATCCGGGCTCCTTTGTAGTGATAATTAAGGAACCCTGAGGAATAATGTAAGTAAATATCTAGGCTTCTCTAATATCTTAAAACCCCAAGCCCTGCCCAAAAACCTTTCCCACGCCAGGAGGCAGTGACAACATCCGCTGCAGCAGTGGCAGTTCGGCTGGGTTCGGCTGAGTCGGGTCTGCACCCACCTTCGGTCTCTTCAACTATCAGGTCCCCTTTAAGGGTTCCTTTAAGGATCTGTAAGGGCTCCTTCAAGGGGGTTTAGGGTTCGGGGTTCAGGGCTCCTGCAAAGGGTTCCTTTTTGCGTTGTAGGTTTCTGTTTGTCCCCGAATCCTCCTTCCTATACACCCCCCAATTGCCCCAAGCACCTTGGAAACTAGAAACCCATGCTACAAGGGGTACCCTTGAATGGCTCCTATAGCTTCCTTGTATGGCTCCGATAAAACTTACTAGCTTGAACCCTAAACCTTGAACCCTGAACCCTAAACCCTTAAACCTAAATCCGATCTTTCTCACAGACCGGGCTACCAGGGCCAAGATCGCGGTGTTGCCCTCGCGGACGAAGCAGTTCGGATCTGCCCCCAACTCCAGCAGCTCGCGAGCCCTCCGCCGGGCTGACTGGGGCGTTAAAGGAATCTATAGAGGGTTACTGTAAGGGCTACTGTAAGGGTACTTTAGGGTTTGGGGTTTTGGGGGCGATTAGGGGCTTGCGGGCTTAGGTGTTTAGGACTGCAGGGGTGAGGGAATTTTCGGGGTTTAGGGTTTCGGGGCTGTCTCAGGCGGTTTCTATCGAAGAGCGCAGTGATACCGGTGATGATTGGGGCTACAAGTATCCTAATCGGAGATGTCCTTATTGATTACTGTTACTTTACTTCTAACGTAGTTGTTAAGGCCCGAGCCTCTACTGTCGCACTGGATTTAGGCGGCCTGTACCAAGCGCGATGGGATTTTGCAGGATCGTCTGGGCTTTGTTCTAGGACTCTGCACGGTCTGAGGCTTCGGGGCACTAAGCTTCAGACCGGGCGAAAGACTGAAACCTTGCAACAACCCCAACCCCCCCCTCCCCCAGAGCCAAGGCATTCAAAGAAGCGTCTACACATCGCGCAACTGATCCTGTACGGCGCTACAGTCGCCGACGAGAGTAGACCATTCCCCAGGTGACCACAGATCCATCGCCCCGAATTGCAGCAAATGCGCTTCGCACGGAAATCGACATGCTTCGTAGGGTGGTGGCTTGAAAGAAGACCTAAAAACCATTCATCGAACCCTCATAGAGGCCTTGCAGTGCTGCAGAACCCGTTCGAGCCCCAGAAGAGAAACACAAGTTTTCTTGCATCTTCCAAGCAAGGAGGATCTCCCAAAACAAATTCGGAGGACCGGCAGCAATCCGCTGGCCTAAATAACTCACTGGCCCGAAACCCAAGGGAATAAAAATTGAAACTTTCAGAATTGACTGCCTTATAAGAACACCAAAAGCTGAAAAGTTGAGTTTACAGCCAATAAGATAAACAAAATGGCCCAAAAAGCGAAGAAGGCGGTTTCTGGGGTTATGATTCCACCGTAGGAATCCTAAGGCCCTCTCAAACGTACAAATGCCTTGGCCTAATGTAGGGGCCTTGATCATTAGAATAGGGTTCCTTTAGAGGGGTCTATAAGGGGTTACTATAAGGGATCTACAAGGGTACTATGTAGGCGCCTTGATCATTAGAACAGGGTTTTGGGGGTTCCTTATGATGATTCCAATTAAAAAAATAATTCCAATTTTTAAGGCCCCTATATTACACGTTCGAGAGACTCCAGTGATTCCACCACCCCCCACCCGAAAAAAAGGTCAACACCGAGTCCAAATGCAGAATAGAATCTGAATTCCCTACACCCCGAATCTCAACGCCCAACACCTTGAAGCCCTCAAACTGAAGCATCAAAATTCTACTCGAATCTTGAAGGCTTCCTTAACAAACACCCTTCTCATAAATACGCTTTTAAGACAAAAGTAGTTACAAACCACCAAACCCTGAACCCAACTTCGCAGCTCGAGTTCTCAGGCTGGGCTGTGTGTTGCCCCATTTTCTCGAGACTTGCGCCCAAAGAGTGATCAAGCGGACATCCGTTGACAGAAGGAAACCGCATGTGGCCCGATCCCCAATCCATGTCTAGTCTTCAGTCTTCAGCCAACCTACTTTCCCGACATCGACATCGTCGTCTCCTGTCATCATGTTCCTCCTCTTCAGCATCAATCTTCTTCTTCTTCATCATCCTCATCATCATCCCTAACAGCAGCAGCAGCAGCAGCAGCAGCCGCATCACAGTCACGATCACGACGCAAACTTCCAAGCCTCGGGACAAATTCCAAAGTCACAAGTCCATCCAGTCTCACCGCCCCTAACTTATCCTAATTTCTACGCCAGCCACAAATTCCAAGCCCCGTACGGAAGGCTCTTCCGAACATGCGGTGCCTAACTCAAGCCAAAACCACCTCCCCTCCCCATCCACCCCAAAACAAACAAGAACATGCGCCTCTCCACGCATCCTTCTGGACGATCGCAAGCCAAGCGATAAAGCTCTGCAGAGGCGAAAGCGCTATGAACGAACTTGTTCCTTGCGACCGCAGGATTTGTGCCCCTACCTTCTAGAAAGATTAGAGTAGGAGGCACTGCTCATTGAGGGTGTTGCAAGGCTTTGGGCATTTATGCTTTGGGTTTGGGTCCGAGATACTTGCTAAACCCTACCTTAATCTGCCAAAACTTACAAAAAAGTAGGGTCCCTATAAATTCCATATTAGGGTTTACAATAAGAACCTACAAAGAAGTAGGTTTTGGTAGGTTAAGGTAAACCCGAAACCTTGCGAACCCCGCAAAAAGCGTCTCCCAAGCCAGTTAAGGCGCAGCTTGTCGTAGTTTGCGTGGTCTGCCGGGGGTGGATCTCGCGATCCCTGACGGGAACTGCTAAGGAACCCGATCCAACCGAAAGGATCAGGACATTATATACCGCTGTATTATGCTGAGCCATACAAGACTGTATAGTACGTTATGTGTTCTGATAAGATATGATAAGACATAGCCCATCAAAGAACTTAACAAGTCGGGCTAGAAGTACGGTAGCTGCAGTAATAGCTGAACAACCTTACTTGCCAGTAGCACATCTCCTCAACCTGCAAGCACGATCATATGCGATTGGTACAGGGGCAGGTTCCCTTTGCAGGTCCACAAGATAGTAACCCTAAGCCCTAAACCCTGATTAAACCCTAAACCCTGAATAAACCCTAAACCCAAAAGTTTAGAGAACTACCCAAGTGCTTTGGCCCCCCCCCCCCCCCCCCTCGGGGCTTCCTCTAGGTAGTTGGTGGGTCTTAGACTGGAGAGCTCCAAATTCCCAGCACCCAAAGCTGAATAGGAACCTTCCCAAAGCCCTATACCCAAAGTCACAAACCCTAAACCCTAATACCCTAAACCCTGAAGCCCTGAACCCCGGGACCTTCCCCAAGGCAATGTGATTCATGATGGCGTGCCGGTCGCTCTGCATTGAGGCTTCGGCCTTTCCAAGGATCATTTTATGGGACCGTCTGAGCTGGGGGTCACATTGTCTTGGTTTGAAAGTGAACAGGGTTTGACGTCGTATACTAGAACTTGCTACAAGAAGTCTGGACCGCACGCTAAAATCTACGGCCACATTAAGTCATGAGGGCTATCTAGGTTTAGGGTTTAGGGTTTAGGGTATCTAGAGATAGGGTCGCCGCCCCTCCTGCCGAATGTCCACCGTCGTGCCGACATGGACCACCTGCTCATGCTTTCGCTCTCGGGGGCTGATAGGGGTTAGGGGCTGTGTTTAAGTTTAATACGGGGGCCTTAATAATTAGAATCGGGTTTTGGGGCCCATTATATACTATGATTCTAGTAAGGAACCCCCCCAAAAAAAGATTAGAGGTCAGCATAAAGGCCCCTACATTACTTTCTGGTGAGGGCTTTAGGGTTTGAGAGCCCAGGGATGTGGGATTGAGGGCGTGGGATGGAGAACCCAGAGCTGAGGCAGGAGTTCGGAACTCAAGGTTTCCCTTCATCCTCGGCTTCTTTCGTTTATAAGCAGGCCCACAAAAAGTTCTAAGTTTCTTGGATAGGCCCGACATATAAGGCCAAGAAGCAAAAGTGCACTCATTGGCTATCTAAGTTGGTGCAGGGCGAGTAACCAACTCTCACATGGAGTGCCTCAAGCATCAATTCAAAACAACCTGAACTAAACCGGAACAAAATTGAATACTGGGAGCCGCTTTGGTTTAGTCCTGCTTGCTTTAGCAGCTTCTTCAGGTTCTTCAGCTTCTCTCAACGTTTCTAAATCCACTTTGCTAGACCTGTCCACCCAGTGAGGGTTACAAGGCAAGACCGCAATAGGGCTCCTTTAAAGGGCTCCTACAAAGGATCTATAAGGGGTTACTATAAGAGTGCTATGTTATAGTTTAGGGTCGGAGGCTTTAGGGTCATGGTTTAGGTTTGAGGATGGGGATCTAGGCTTGAGAGTTTACTTGGAGGGTCTTTAGGGGACTTAGTAAGGGCTCCTTTAAAGGGGATTCTAAGGGTTCCTTTAAAGGGCTCTATAAGGGTAGTATAGGGTTTAGGGTTTAGGGTCGGGGGACTTAGTAAGTAGGTAGTAAGTAGACTTATAAGTACCCTAAAAGGGACCCTAGTTGGGGTTATGCTACTTACAAGTCCCTAAAATAGCCAGTTACTAAGTCCCCCGACCCTCCAAGTAAGGCTTGAGATTAGGGTTTAGGGCCTGAGTTTCAGGATCTAGAGTTTCGGGTTCGCCGAACCTGAAACCCACCAGTTCTAAACACTAGACCGTATCATAACACCCTTATAAACTATAGTAACCCCTATGGACCCTTTGTAGGAACGCTTTTAAAAGGAACCCTAAAGCCTCTACCCTCAAATAACCCTAGTGAGACACGACGGGCGCCTCCAGCGGAAAGTGCGCCAGGCCTTTCGAGATCTCGTTCCAGCCACTGACTCCGTCCTGCACAGAGATCCCAATACGGTTGATGATATAAATCCTGGGGTTCCTTTAAAGGGATCTACAAGGGTACCTTTAAGGGGCTCCTTTAGGGGATCTATAGGGTTTAGGGTTTAGGGTGATGATATAAATCCCGCATTCCCTTAAGGACCCTAAACTATGGGAATTATGGTATATTCCTAAAAATGGGTAATGCAGGCTTTCTATCATCAACCGTACCCCTTCATTAAGGAATGTACGTTAAACCATAGTATTAAGGCCCCTATGACTTAAGGTATATTCCTTAATTAAGGGGTATTGGGATGTTGCACAGATGGTTGGGGGATGGTTTACTAGGTTTAGGGTGTAGGTTTAAAGGGATCTAGAAGCGTTCCTTTAAAGGGATCTACCTTAGAGATGGTTTACAATTACAGGGTTGGGGGCTTTAGTTGCTTTGGTGTTTGGGGCTTTCGTGTTTTAGGGTTTAGGGTTTGGGGCTCCAAAACTGGATAAATTTTGGTAGGATGGGATCCTGCATCCCACCTACCTTGATGCAAGCTTTCCCGCAGCGAAAGCCAGCCTCCAAATCCTAGGCACTGCTGTTGATGATATAAATCCTGCATTACCTTAAGGATCCTAAACTATGGGAACTATGGTATATTCCTTAGAATGGGTAATGCAGGAATTGTATCATCAACCGTGGGTCGGATCAACGCCTACGCCTTGAACCTCCCCGAACCACAATTTTCTCTTAGTTGCTGAGTTCATAAGCCCCCCAGAAAGTGTACACTTTTAGTTCTATAGTGGGTAATATTATCCCAAAAACTGTAAAGTGTATCCACTCAGCTACTAAGCTCGGGTAAGTGGATCTTATCAAGGGGCCTGGGGCCCAGGAGCCTGGGAACCAGGTTTTCTGGACACTGGTTAAACGTCCCGGGCAAGTAAACAACTGAACAAGGTGTGCGCACACTAGAGCACGGAATCGGGCCACCAGTGGCTTGTAACTCTAGACTAGACTGTACTTAGAACCCTTGCAAAAATCATAATTCTAGCTGTTTCTTCGGGATTATGATAACCAAAAATTAAAAAAATATTTTTAAGTACGCCTAAGTCTGGACTGCGCATTCTTCAAGTGCATGAGTGAGTCGCCTTGCAGGCGCAGGAACATGGCCACTGTGAAGGAAGGAGCAACTTTGAGGGTTTAGGGTTTAGGTTTTAGGGCTTAGGGTTTAGGCCTTCGGTTCGCAGCAGGGGTTGGTAGCATTGCTTCAATGACAAAAGCGAGGCAGCATCAGTCAACCTCCCTTGCATTCACCCAGTCATGTGGACAAGTTCGCCCATGTCATAAAGAACTCAAGCTAAAACTGAACCCGGTGGATGGGCACCACTCGAAAGTTCATGGAATATCTGAGAGGAACATGTAATCCAACAAAACCGGGCCCTCCCCGAAGAAGCACAAATAGAACACTCTCCATTATCCACTCCACGACTGAGAATAAGGCCTTATAGCGGTGAAAAAAAGCTTCTCGTGCGTTTATCCCCTGAGTAACAAGCATACCCGTGTTCCTAGCGTCCACTGATCGGGAGACCCCAAAATAACAGAGTTGAAGCGTACCGCAGGGTGACCTACGTAGATTTTACGGACCGCTATTTTTCCTACGACGGCCGTACATATCGGAGGAATCGCTGTGTGCGGAATTCCCGTGAAGATCTGAAATCCCCGAGGCTCTCAGATTCGTTTTCAGTACGGCTAATACCGTACGCAGTATGAGGATCAGAATAGTTTGAAACCGTACACCCTACACCCAAAGACCTAAACCCAAACTCCTGAATCCACGGTCCCTCTAAGACTGAGATCCTGCAGAATGGCGACAGCATCGGGGTCAAAGGCCGTCGTCTGCGTCATGTCGATGGCGACCAGGTCCAGAAAATGACTCCCCTTGTTGCTGAGGTTGGCCTGATCATTTTTTGATCTATTCAGGGTTTAGGGCTTCAAGTCTTTCGAGTTATAAGTTATAGGTTCAGCAGGTGAGCATTTCCTAGCGCTTAAGGCTTAAGAGCTGAACATGTGATGTAATTTAAAGGTCTTAAGTTTTAGGGTCAAGGGTTGGGCGTGCTGCAAGTGCTTGCGGTGTAATTGAAGGCCTGAGGGTGTAACAGACGTTTTGCTCGCTTACGGGAGCAAGGGACTTAGGCTTACTTGTCGGGTATCACGGGAAACTGAAGGTTAACCTGTTTGGTTATATAGGGATTACATAGGGACTATACTACCCAAACAAGGTCAAAGGTTACCTACTCCACTACTAGGTAGGAAATGTGATCAGACGTGCATAAATTGGTGTTGCAAAAAAGCCTCTCGCCATGGTTGCCTCACTCGTAACCCTACTGAATAAGTCCCGTAAGTCACGTCTCGCTCCGATGTAGCTCGAGACAAATCGACACTACTACACAATACGGTTTAGGGTTTTGGGGTTTAGGGTTTAGGTTGCGTACGGCCCCCCATACAGTAACAGTCTATAATAGGGCTACTATTGAGGTCCTTATATTTCTATATTATGAATATTATCCAACTGTTGCTGAGTTGGGGCAGTACCCAAGGCTTAGGGTTCATAGATCATTCACACCCGGGTAGGGTCGAACCTGGCTGGAACGACAGCTGGCGATGATGCTGGAAAAAGGAGATGCTGCAACGAGCGGTTCCCCCTAAACCCTAAACCATTCATATAGGGGCCTTAATGGCTGGAATAGGGTCTTGGGGCCCATTACCACCAAAATAGTAGTGGTACTTATTTAGCCCCCTACTTAGATGCTGAGTTCATAAGCCCCCAAAAGTGTACAGTTTTAGTTTTATAGTGGGAAACATTAAGCCACAAAAGTGCGAAGTGTATCCACTCAGCTGCTGACTAGCCCAAATTTTTGGATTCTGCTCAATCACAACTCCTCTCTACTTAGTGTCTGGGTTTTTGCGGCTCCGACACTTTTTGAAACTCCCGAATGTGACCTGCAGCCGGTACATGCCCTCGTATCAGGAAACGTGTGATGAACCGGAGTTATATTTTAGGCGCTTGGACTGCTGCAACCTGACGCGGGTTAGCAGCAAAGGGGAAAGGCAGGGGGGGGGAAAGGACCTAAACCCAAAAGGACCGACAGGTCCGCTACGAAACCCCTCGGGCAGCAGGCGCCTTGCGCCAGCCGTCTCGCTGTCCTCTATTCTGCCACTCTCTGCGGCGAATCGAGCCCATAACATGCAAGCGCTCTTTCACGATTTTGATTTGCTGAGCATCGGTAGCTAGCGAACCGTCCCAACCTAGCCTAGCAGCTAGCTCGCCCGGCGGACGAGGAACCCTACGAAGATCAGCATGCCCCGCGCAGGACCAAAGCACATGATCCACACACGGAACCACCGCCTGACGACAGTCCCAACACCAGCCGTCTCGCGCGCCAGCGCCCTTGCGAGACGCATCAGTGTGCATGCCCCCGACCAAACATGCTAGAGCGTCCCCGTCCAACTCCTTAGCAATGCCTCGCAACCTATCAAGGAGGACGTCGGAGTAGCTCAGGCCAGCCGCACGGGCCACCTGCGAGTCTCTGCGACTCGAAACCATCCACTCAGCGAAAGCATGTTGCCTCCACGATTGGCGCAGTTCATGCAAAGCTTTGGCTTGCTGTTGCAACGAACACCGGACGTCAAGCGAGCCGCGCGGGCCGTGCCACACACCCCAACCACGGTGCAGCCAGCCCCAGGGGCGAAGGAGAGACGAAACCTGACTCATCAAGGCCGGCTGAGGAGCCTGAGGACTCGGAACCGGGAGCCGCCGAGCAGAGCGAAAACGGGTCCAACGACAAAGAGCGGCCAAGACGCGGCCGACGGCGAAACACCTGAGGTCAGCGAAGTGACCCCACGCGACAGCACACACAAGCTGACGGCTCGCACGCCCAGCACCGTTTAACCGACCCTTGATGGCAGCACGCCAAGAAGCCCAATAGTGGTTGGACTCGCCAACGGTAGGAGAGCGACCGGTAATGAGAGCCCCCCAAGCCGCACAAGGAGGAAGCATCGCACGGGCAACTTGGAACCTGAAGCTTTGCCTGACGGGGAGCAAGCCAATGCGAATGCCTTTGGCACGAACCTTATCCAAACGGGCCTTCTCGGCAACAGCCTGCCGCCGCCGAGGAAGGCCCATGACCGCCCCAAGGACTTCGCCTTCACCTTTAACCGCCGGGTGGCGGCCGTGCAACGAAGCCGCCGCAGCCGGCGTGCGGCCCCAGATCTGGGTTTTCTCGGCATTCGTGCACATGCCGGAGATGGTGCTAAACTCATCCCACTCAGAGACAACGGCAAGAACACGCGGAAGAGCGGTACCGACGCAAGTACGGTCATCGAGGAAGAGGACCTGCTTGACATCGGGGAAGCGAGACTGACTGCGAGAAAAGACAGGCTGGAGAGCCGCCGCCAAAGCCAAAGGAGCAAAGGGATCTCCTTGCGGCAGCCCACGAGCACCGTGGAGGGCCTCGTGGGCGACGCAACCACCAACGCAAGTCCAACGGATCTGCCCACGCCACTGGTGCTGCAGAAGAGTCAACGCCGGACCTTCCAAACCCCATTGCCGGAGAGCATGAAGAGCAACCTCGGGCTCCAGACTATCAAACGCCTTCAAGAAGTCAAGACCGACCGCCACACCGTGAGTGTCGGCCGGGGCCTCGAGCTGCAAGTCCAACAGCAAACACTCCGGGTCGGGCGCCTCAAAGCCACCGCCCTGCCCCGGAGCGAACAGAGGAGCGACAAAGCGACTCAACTGAGACGTAACGTGCGAAGCCCACACTCTATACAGCAAATTAGCGATACTGATGGGCCTAACCTTATCAACCCTGGAAACCTTATCCTGGGAGGAACCCTTGGGGATGTACACGGTGCGCCAGTGCAAGCACGACTGCGGCCACACACCCGCACGCTCGATGCAAGCGAGAACCTGATGAACCGGAGGGGGATCTAAGACGCCCTTCTGCCAGGGTACTTCGGTGATAACTTCAAGGTGTCTAGCACGTTGCACGGTACCTATTATAGGGCCAAATTAATTACCAATTTACCAATACTATTTTGTGAGTTCCCGAAAATGATAAGTATAGTATCCCTAAACCCCAAACACCCCTAAACTCTAAACCCTTTCAAAGTCTTCAGGCCCCTATATCTTGGAGCACGGAGCTTAGCGGCAATAAAGTCCCCAAAGACGCCTGGCCAGATCGCAGATGCTGCGTGAGGTGAGCCTCGAAAACACACCAGACCTGGGCTGTGTGGTTCTGAATTAAGCACTTAGGGGTTCAGGGCTTTTGGGCTTCGATCTTCTTTGGTTTAGGTTTTTTGAGGCTGAACTGGAAGCTTGATTAAGGGCTTGACTAAACTGTTGGGAGTTTCGGATGCCCTTTTAGTAGTTAGACTGGCATTTCGGGGTAGAAATCAGAATAAGCATGTAGGCAATCTAAAGGGATGCTATGGGATGCTACTTTTAACGAATTGTTCAGGCCCTTATGGGTAGTTGTCAAAAAATAGGGTCCCTCTCTGGGGCTATCCTAAATGGTAGGTGCCGTATCATATCAGGGATCCAAAAAGGGACCATCATTTTGACAACCACCCTTATATACACCTCCAAAGTGTTCAGGACAGGGGAGGGAGGCTCCGGAGGGTCACAGGAGACCCCCAAGACTGGGTTCTTGCGAAGAGATCTAATTTAATTGACCACAAAAAAGGGTTTTTTTACGGGTTCTATAAGGGTGTAGGGGTTAAGGGATTAAATTTAAGTTACCATAATAAGGAAACCCTATCTTTTACTATAGATCCCTATTAATTATTGTTCTTGTCAGGAGATTATTTTTTTAAGCTACCACATTAAGGAAACCATATTCTTTACCATAGATCCCGATTATCATGGTACAGTAACTTAAAATTAGTTCCTGAACAAGAACTCAGAAGAAGCAGATAAACAAGAACCAGAGGTTGGCGTAACGCACAACCCCCTCTTTAGGTAAACCTTTGAAGCAGGAATATCCACGGACCCCAAACCGTTAATATAGGGGCCTTAATAATTAGAATAGGGTTTTGGGGCCCCTTAGAGTACACTCAAACTAATGACCCCCCCCCTCCCCACAAAAATAGTATTGGACTTTATTTAGGTCCCTATAATATAGTTCCCTTATAGATCCCTTCTACTAACCCTCCTAGACGCCCTTTAAAGGAAGCCTAGTCGAACCCTAAACCCTAACCCCAAACCGGCTTAACCCTGAATACCAAGCCCGAAACTCCCAACACCACAAGCTTCTGCTACGGATGGCTTTTCGGTTCCTGATCCAGGGCCCTCTAGGCTTACGGTTTAGCTGAGGGCACGGATTCAACAGCAAACCTCGAACCCCACCGGCCCGCAAACTTTAAGACTAATGTAGGAACCTGGTTAAGGAACCTCGGGCGCGGGTTCTTAATATGAATGCACCATTTTGGGGTTATAGGCCCAGGGTTTCTTAATCAGGTTCCTACATTCTGCTTTCTAGTTTAAACGAAAAGACTCAACGAAGCGCCAAAGCCGTGAACAACCGCCCACACAGGCACGAACAAGCGATCAAACCGTCACCATACCCCCCTTAGAACCATAATCAACGTAACGTTTTTAATATCCTCTTGGGTTTTATATGAAAAAGAGTATAAAACAGTTCATATATATATATATATATATATGTATATATATATATATATATATATATATATAACTACTTCGTGAGGAGACACAAGGTCAAGCTATGGAATCCTGAGCCTTAAAAGCGACAGGGGCCCGCACCCTTCTCAGTGGCGTCACTGCCTGAGCCCACCGCAACATGGGAGCTTCCGAAAATGGGGGGGTACCTCATTTTGGGATTCCTTTAAGGGGATCCTTTAAGGGTTCCTTAAAGGGAGCTAGAAGGGTTCTATGAAGGGCTGAGGGTTTAGAGTTTCCGAAAATTAGGGGTACCTTATTTTGGGGTCCTTATAACAAGGATCCTACTATTCAGGGTAGTATGTTAGGGTCCCTTATTTGCGGAAACTCCCGAATGATGTAGTTCAATTCGGAGTCTCTTTTTGGAACCCAGAAGGAAGCGGCACCCTTTTCTTAAACAGACCCCAAAGGGACCCGAATTGAGAGAGAACTACCCATGTGGGTTTGTAGAGTTCTAGGACGTCGAATTGTGGGGTTTAGCTTACTTCCCAGTATCCTAGAAGTACATGCTAACTTTTGGGATTACATTGGGATTGTCATGCACCGATAAGGTTCAACTCTACTTCTAAGCCAGGGTGTGAGGGCTTGACTTTGAAGTTTAGGGCTTCAGGGTGTAGGTTTGCGGTTTAACCGGCTTTTGTCGCCGAAGCTCTATTGCTCAATACCCGGACCCCAAAAAAGCTCAAACTTTCAAGGTTAAACTAAATATATCAAGCCAAATAAAGCTTAAAGTTCTCGCATTGGCTATCTAAGTAAGATCTGCGGTTGAGGGTTTAGGGTTGGTGTCCGTAGATATTTCTGCTTCAAAGGTTTACCTAAAGACTGGGGTAGGGTCAAGGGATGAAGGGGTTCACAGGTTCAAGCTGCAAACTGCGAGGGTTGGGGGTGACCTTCGGGGCAACCCTAAACTATAGTCTGCTTAGGAATTAATTTCAATTTTATTTTTGTTCATATAAAACCCAAGAAGGTATTAAAAATCCTGTTTTTATTATGATTCGAAGGTGGTTATAGTAAACCTCCTAAACCCTGCAGTCGCAGCACCATGAACGATAGAATGTCGGAACATGGGAGTTTCCAAAACTTAGGGGTGCGTATTTTATTTTGGGGCCATTTTCTTAAGGATCCTGGGCCATTTTCTGAAGGATCCTATATTTTTCGGAAACTCCCACATGAGTTTAGTAGGTTTAGGTCCCTCAGGGTGGCTGCTTGGTGGTCCAGGTTAGCTTTGTCCACCATGTAAGGATCATACAAGTCCCAAAATGCTTGAACGGTGCATACTCTACTACTAGGATCGTGATGAACACCCTAAGCCTGACCCTAAACAGACATTCACATCATGGTCAAACGAGCATCAAGCCCTATAGACCCCGAGCCGTAATGCCCGGAACCCCATCTCCTTGCGGAGTCTCCCCCAAGCCCTGTTGAAACGATCAAGGCCGCCACGTGAAAGCCTGTAAAGCCCGTTCGATTCCGTATCTACCCAGACGCCCTGGGAGGATCTAAAAAGTAGATCCCCTGATTTGCGGCCCTGGCTACTAAAGGATACTTTATCGGAGCCCCCTTAAGGGATCTACTTTTTGGATCCTCCCGGGGGTCTGGGTAGGATTTAGGATCAGGGATATAAACCCTTTCAATAAGGTCTCTTCCTTTAAGAGAGCCAGGAGTAAGCTTAAGCAGGGTCCCCAATAAGCGGTCTCCATAATACTACCTGGGACTACTTTTCGGGGCCTTAATGGTTAGAATAGGGTTTTGGACCCCGTTATACTACAAATGTAACAAGGAAACCGCCCAAAAAGAATCTCCGTAACTGTTTAAGCCCCTCTATTCCTTTTTCAAGGAGCCTGGGTCTTCCCCAGGCAAGGAACCACACCCCCCAAAAAACACCGGGAATTACTTAAGCCCCTATTATCCAGCCCCCTTTTCGAAGAGTTGGGGTCTTCCCCAGTGAACCGCAAAAGCGAAGCCACCAGGGGCCAGGCAGAGTCGCAAAGCAAGGCGGTGCCACAGCAATTCGGACTCCTTGGTTCTTCAGGACTGGAAAGCTAGACAGTGTATCCTACTTGTCGGGTATCATGCGGAACTAAAGGTCAAGCGTTTTGGTTATATAGGTATTATATACGGGCTATACTACCCAACTAAAGGATAAAGGTTCCCTACTCTACTACTAGGGTATTTAATCCTAAACCCTAAACAGTGTATCTAATGTACGATGCAGGGAGAAAAACAACTTGTGGGAGAAAAGCCCTGCATCCCGGAAACAAAGCGGGAGAGTACAGGAGGCCACGGGAGCAAGACTGTATCTAATCTAGACCCAAGAGTAACCTAGGAATAAAAAGGGTGCCCTTTTTGGTTTTAAAGGGGCTTAATAAGGGAACCTGAACCCTAAAAAAGGGAATAAGGGCTTACTCTGGGTCCTAGACTGTATCTAATGTTGTTTCGCAGGAAAAAAGCCATTACACTGTATAGGACTCCTTGGTTTTTCAGGATTCTGTGGATGTATGGTTTCAGGGGGTTCTGGGTATGGGGCTCAAGGGATCCTTTCTGAGGGTTCCTTAAAGGGATCTATAAGGGTTCTATAAATAAAGAGTTAGGGTTTAGGGTTTCAGGGTTCAGGGTATGGGGCTCAGGGTTTCTGGATCGGACGGTGTCAGCCTTCGGGCCTTGTGCCTGCTCAAAAGACTAGTTACCTAGTTTGGGGTTTGGTGTTTAGCGGCTGAGGGTTTAGGGGTTTAGGGTTTAGGGGTCAGGGTTTAGCCCCAAACCCCATCAAGCTACCACCTAGAAGTTTGCCAGCGCGTTAGTCGAACTCGGCGATAGCTGCTTCGGGTAAAGGCTGTGCAATCTAACACAAGCAAATCTGGGCTGTCGCCACCGCAGTCGGCATCACCCCAGGTGACCACAGATCCGTCACCCAAGATTGCAGCAAATGTGGAATCAGAAGCTTGGACTTTCTGCACATCTCGCAGCTGATGCTGTACGTCACGGCTGTCGCCACCACATTCGGCATCACCCCAGTTGACCACAGATCCGTCACCCAAGATTGCAGCAAATGCGGAATCAGAAGCTTGGATTGGCTGCACATCTCGCAGCTAATGCTGTACGGCACGGCTGTCGCCACCACAGTCGGCATCACCCCAGGTGACCACAGATCCGTCACCCAAGATTGCAGCAAATGCGGAATCAGAAGCTTGGATTTGCTGCACATCTCGCAGCTGATGCTGTACGTCACGGCTGTCGCCACCACAGTCGGCATCACCCCAGGTGACCACAGATCCGTCACCCAAGATTGCAGCAAATGCGGAATCACAAGCTTGGATTTGCTGCACATCTCGCAGCTGATGCTGTACGGCACGGCTGTCGCCACCACAGCCGGCATCACCCCAGGTGACCACAGATCCGTCACCCAAGATTGCAGCAAATGCGGAATCAGAAGCTTGGATTTGCTGCACATCTCGCAGCTGATGCTGTACGGCAGGGCTGTCGCCACCAAAGTCGGCATCACCCCATGTGACCACAGATCCGTCACCCAAGATTGCAGCAAACGCGGAATCAGAAGCTTGGATTTGCTCCACATCTTGCAGCTGATGCTGTACGGCACGGCTGTCGCCACCACGGTCGGCATCACCCCAGGTGACCACAGATCCATCACCCAAGATTGCAGCAAATGCGGAATCAGAAGCTTGGATTTGCTGCACATCGCGCAGCTGATGCTGTACGGCACGGCTGTCGCCACCACAGGCGGCATCACCCCATGTGACCACAGATTCGTCACCCAAGATTGCAGCAAATGCGGAATCAGAAGCTTGGACTTTCTGCACATCTCGCAGCTGATGCTGTACGTCACGGCTGTCGCCACCACAGTCGGCATCACCCCAGGTGACCACAGATCCGTCACGCAGGATTGCAGCAAATGCGGAATCAGAAGCTTGGATTTGCTGCACATCTCGCAGCTGATGCTGTACGGCACGGCTGTCGCCACCACAGTCGGCATCACCCCAGGTGACCACAGATCCGTCACCCAAGATTGCAGCAAATGCGGAATCACAAGCTTGGATTTGCTGCACATCTCGCAGCTGATGCTGTACGGCACGGCTGTCGCCACCACGGTCGGCATCACCCCAGGTGACCACAGATGCATCACCCAAGATTGCAGCAAATGCGGAATCAGAAGCTTGGATTTGCTGCACATCGCGCAGCTGATGCTGTACGGCACGGCTGTCGCCACCACAGTCGGCACTGCCCCAAGAGACCACAGATCCATCACCCAGCATTGCAGCGAATGCCGAGGTGTCCCCTCCTTTCGTGGCTACAAGCGCGACCTGGTTCATGTGCAGGGTCAGCATGTCACCGTTCTGCAGCCTTGCTTCCTTTATAGTTGATGCTCCATCAAGTACCTCCCCAGAAGAGTTCAACAGCCTACCGTTACCAGCTTTTAGAGCATTCTGGGCGCGTCTTCTGAGAGACTGAACAGAATCATCCGCGTCCACTTCCAGAGTTTCTGTCTTTCCACTCAACAGATGCACATCCACCGAAATCGACATTGCGCTTTTGAGGGTGGTCGTAGCAAGCAGAGCCTACGCCTGAGACTACTCTTGATAGCATGTAGGGCATACGTCTTAGGGTCTGACCAAGGGGAAGAAGTAGGGCCATGCTCAAGATACGTCCCACTTGGAGGGTCGGGGGACTTAGTAAGTAGGTAGTAAGTAGACTTATAAGTACCCTAAAAGGAACCCTAATTGGGGTTGTGGTACTTATATGTCCCTAAAATAACCAGTTACTAAGTCCACCGACTCTCTAAGCAAGAGCCTTAAATCCGAAACTTAGGGGTTGAGCATCTTAGCCCCGAAAGGGTTAAACTTTCAAAGTATAGTAGGAATATATACATATATATATATATATATATATATATAAGCCGCAAAGTGTCAAAGGTTGCCTACTCAGCCCCCGAATAAACCTTAAAACGCCCTTCTGTTCGGATGCCTGTGGGAGCAGAAATTCCTCAAATCTTGGCTTGTCTTGCCTCAACTTTAGCTAAGCCTGCTTCGGAAAGTTCCAGAGAAGCCCAAAACATGACCTAATCAAGAGAGCACATACAAGCTTCTACACTCCTGGTAAAGCCGCTCGGGTGAGCATTAAAGCACATCGACGCATCACTACTGTACTCATGATATCTTCCAGGCTCGCTTTGTTGCGTCGTCGGATTAAGGATCAGGCTATTTCAAACTCATACCATGAATTTGTGTTGTCTGATGCTCCTCTTTTAAGAGCCCATACAACGATTTCAATTTTTTTGAGCAGATCCGCAAAGCTAATGCCCTAAGCTCTAGGCCCCGCCCTTAAATGCGCCCGATTACCAAGCCAACCCCTTCAACCGTCACTGCACAAATCCTGAGACTCCTTCAGCACATACATCCAAACCAAAGTCTAAACGACCATGATTTCGGGTTTAGGGATACAGTAGCTATTACAAGCCCGGCTTGTACACGGACATAATTAAACTGAGGCTTTTTCAAAACACACACCGAGCTTTTCAACATTATGTGTCGGGCCTTTGGAGGAGAGTGTTGGCTTTTGGTTCTCGCAAGATTTACAGTAGAAGCCGGAAAGTTGGAATATCATTATCGCAACCCCTTTAAGGTAACTTATAGGGTATCCTACCATTAAACCATATTCCAACTTTCTGGAGTTCCCTTTAGAGCACGGCGGATTCGGGCTTGTTTTCTTTTGTCATTTTTTTTCCGCTTGTCGGGCTAGAGGACGTTCAGACTCGTGGCTCCTGCGGTTCGGGATGCCTTTGTCTATTCAAAGCACCCTGTCTTCGAAATTTTTCCAAGCCAGGTTCTGTCTTCCATAACTATCGCCGAAATCTGAGGAAGGGCATAGGCTGCCGAGTTCATAAGCCACCCAAACTTTCAACTTTCAGTTCTCTCGGGCATAGTCTCATGCCCAAAAGTGTACTACCTGAGATAAGTATTATACTCATTCAGCTGCTGAGAGTGTAATATCGGGACCTTAATAATTAGAATAAGCTTTTGGGGTCCCATGACACCATAATTATAATAAGGAACCCCCAAAAGAGGATAGGAAATTATTTAGGCCTCCTCTACTATGCCCAATGGTCCCTAAGGGATGTTGAATCGAACCAGGCGACAGCAACACGCGGGCGAATGGTGTCTTCATCAAGTCTGCTTCCTTAGCTGCACAGTGCTCGTGAAGCCTGCAGGTTTCAGAGAGCTTACCTAGTTGCTGAATTCATAAGCCACCAACAAGTGTACACTTTCAGCTTTATAGTGGGTAATACTATCCCAAAAAGTGTAAAGTGTATCCACTCAGCTACTAGGCTCTAGAGAGTTTAGCATGTACAGTTTACGGCCGAAAGTTGAGATTTTATGGCTTGTGGCTTGTAGGCTTAGTCTCAATGAAAAGCTCACGAGACCGCACGCGTAAGCGCCTGTGTAGTGACACTTGAAGGAACCCTTCAAAGTGTTTATCCCGAATCCAAGCCCCGAAATAGTTTAGGGTTACGCTCCGGTTTCAGGGATTAGAGGTTTAGGGGTGCAAGGCTTCGAACTGGTCGTTTCGCCTTTGCAGTGATTTCCGGCATGACTACGTTGCGGAAAATACTTACGTCCAGAGGCACCCAAGCTCTGCACACAGTGTAGGGTTGAGGGTTTAGGGTTCGATCATACGAGAACTTATAAGCCAGCAGCTGTATCTGTCGGTCTGCAAATGCCCAAACCTGATGAAACTAGCTACACCAATATCAGATATAGTAGATTCCCTCCAACTAGCAGTTGAGAAAGTACGAAATGCACGCGTCAGGAATTGGGAGGTAAACTCTGCTGATCCGGGTCTATGGGTTCAGGCTTCGGGAATCTACTTGGAGCCGTCGGGACTTGAGCAGTACATGTTATATGGCGTTATGAGTATCGTAAACCCAATAAGTTAAGGATCCCTTTTGCGCAGGGTGTGATTCAGGCCCCTGCATGAAAGTACCCTTATAGTCAATATCCCGTATAGACCCCTTTCATGGGACCCTATTCTAATAATTAAGTCCCCTACACAAAAGCTGCGACCCCTAAACCCTAAACCCCTAAACCCCTAAACCCCTAAACCCTAAACCCCTAAACCCTAAACCCTAAACCCCTAAACCCCTAAACCCTAAACCCTAAACCCCTAAACCCCTAAACCCCTAAACCCTAAACCCCTAAACCCCTAAACCCTAAACCGGGGTGTGCGACTCGTGGGTTGATAAAGGTTGAGGGTTTGGGGCGGCTTGGAGGTTCAGGGTTTTCAGTTTAAGGCCGGGGAGGGGTTAGGGCTTGAGAAGTGCTTTGGATCTAGGTTCCAGGACTTTAGGGTTTAGGGTTTAGGGGTTAGGGTTTAGGGGTTAGAGTTTAGGGTTTAGGGTTTAGGGTCATTAACAATTCTAACCGGCTCAAGCGTCACGCAAAGCAGAGAGGTCATGCTGGTTGTTTGCCAGTGTACAACACCAGTAAGAGGCTTGCATCCAGGCCTCTCTGGGCTCAGGGTTTATGTAGGGGTTTAGGGGTTTAGGGGAAACAAAATGCCAACTAAACCTTGAGCCTCTGCAAGCCAATCCTTAAATTCCAAAGCCGGCCGAAAGGCCTGCATAGTTCGGCAAGGGCTGAGGGGTGATGATCAGGTGGGCTTTTATTCCTCCTTTGGTCACCTTACGCACACCACTACTGATGATTCAGGTAATAACCTCCTTGTCGGGTATCATGGGGAAATAAAGGTTAACCCTTTGGTTGTATAGGGATTATATAGGGGCTATACTACCCAAAAGAAGGTGAAAGCTTCCCTACTCTACTACTAGGATAACTTCTTCGTCCTTGCGGAGGGAGGTCCAAGCACCAACCCAAATCCTAAACCCCTTTTAAGCGAAGTCCATGTCTCCGAAGCAATATGTCGGCCGCAGAGCTAGAAGGGAGTGTTTGGGGCATATTACGAAGTGGCCGATGATAATCATGCGACCCTGAACACATGCGACAGCATTAGTATTCCTAAGTAAAAACCCGAGGCTTCCGTGTCATGCGAAGCTGCGAGAACACCAGAAGATCGAGTGCCCCTCACTCCGAAATCCGAAAGCCCAGCCCTTGTCGGAACCCTGCCACAAGGACCCTGAGTAACTAACACTAGTATTCCTCAGGGTTCCTCCCTAGTCTGAGTATTCAGGACCCGATATCAAGCCTGAGCCGGAAAGAAACCTTGTCTGCTAAGCCAGAACACTTTTACGGCGTGTCTTGATGTGATCTTTCTCGTCTTTCAGATTCGCAATATCCCACTCACAGAGAAACCGAAATTGCGGCCGTGTGGGCGGACATTTTGGGATCTCTAGCAATCTTGAATCGAGCATTCGTTATTTCAGAACCTGAAACCCTTGCAAGTCGCCAACCTGCTTGGAAGTCGAAGTCCTAACTGGGCCCTCCATGTACTTCCATCTCGCTAGTATTGCTATTCTGCCAAGGAAAAGTTCAAGACACACCAGAGCGAACTAGCGGTGGTCCACCTGTGGCCGGTCCGAGCCATCATCAGGCTGATTGCGGGAACGCGCATGCCTGAGATCGATTCCAAATAGCCCAAAAGGCACTGTCTAGGGTTCAACATTCAGGGTTTAAGGGTTTCGGGTTTGGGGTTTTATGGCTTCAAAGTTGGTAGTGTGACTAGGTAGCTAGTGCGCTTAGATTCTGCACCCCGAAGCAGACAGTACTTGCACATGAGATTCCCTGTGTGTTCGCGGTTGCAATGCTTGTCTTATGCTGCCTCTTCCGTTTCGGGAGCAGGATCCTGCTTCGAAGCCGTGAAATATGAGGGCCTTTAGACTTAGACTACGGCTTTGGGGCATTTTTGCTATACAAGTAACTACAATTAGGAGCCTGCAGCAGAATATTGGTAATTGTTTTGGCCCCTACATTGAGGTCCCTGATCGAACTGGTTAATGCACAGCGATTCCTGGCTTCGTAGCTGCCCAAACCGTTGTGACTGTACGCTGGTGCGAAAGTATGTTGGAGCATGTATACATACTCCCTAAGCCACTTGCTCTAAGCTGCACGCCCTCAAACCCTACATGCTGAAACAACACTTCCGTGAAGACTCGATGAGAGCATCGAGGTGGTGGCTGCGAAATTGGTGCTCCACGCATGAGACACCATCCATTCCTGGGAGAACGGGTCACGCCAAGCAGCTCAAAAACATTTAGACGTGCCCGGGCGTTTGCTTTGTGGATTTCGTGTTACGGATTCGGGTTTAGGCGGTGGTTGCAAGCTTCTGATTGCACTGACCTCTCAGTAGGGGTTAGAAACGTCCCCTCGCAGCGACGGTTCTGTTGTAGGGAATACTGCACCTTATACACTGCTTCGTCCCCTACTAAAATTCAAAAGCTACAACCGAAGGCCTTTTCAACCCTAACCCTTTCTCCCAGCACCACTTAACTTGCTGAATGTTTCCTCTTCTTCATCCCCTAAACGTTACCTGGCAAGACGCAGTGGAACAGAATAGTTGACGTAGGGCGACGTAGAGGCCTGACAATGAATGCCAACAGAATTTTGGGGTATATGGTAGTATGCTCATCATAATAAGGACTAACTACAGGCAAATATCATTAGCAACTTCGCTGACGCCTTTAATCCACAGACTCGCGCCCAGGCTCGGGTGGCTGCAGATCAGACGCCACGAGTTCCACATAGGAACAACCTGGCTATGGCTCAGGGTTTGGAGTTTGTGGCTTCCTATACTTGAACGATCATGGGACTCAGTAGCTAGGATTATACAAGAGGTAACTATACTTAATATGGTTACTGTTATAACCCCATCTGAGGTACTTTTGATACCTTACTTACCAAGTCCCATGACCCTCCAAGTGGGATCAATTTTGGGTCTGGGTCTGATAGGCTTTGGGTTCTGGGGCGGATGGGGCCGGCCCACAGACCCCTGAAGCCACAAAGTGAAAACAGACGCCATAGATCTAATGTAGGGGCCTTACTAATAAGCCTAGGGTTTTGGGGGGTCCTTATTGTAAGACAAGTGTAAGATACCCCCCCCCCCCCCGTGTGCGGCTTAAATGGGGTATTATAGCCAGCTGAAACCGTGGGTTTTCGCTCCTATAGTATTTAGTATAGTCAAGCAGATGGCGATTATATCCTTTGTATGTTTTGTGGATGGTCAGGGCCCGAATTAAATAATTTAAATAATTTAAATAATTTAAATCCTGGCCGGGGGGGTTTTCGGGAGCCCCGGGCCCCAGGATTTAAATAATTTAAATAATTTAAATCCTGGGGAAGGGTTCCGGATTTAAATTATTTAAATTATTTAATTCCCGGGGCCCTGGACCCCCGGGGACCCCTCCCCTTCAGGATTTAAATTATTTAAATTATTTAATTATTTAAATTATTTAATTCCCGGCCCCATTTAAATAATTTAAATAATTTAAATAATTTAAATAATTTAAATCCTGACCGGGGGGGTTCCCGGGGGCCCCGGGCCCCAGGATTTAAATAATTTAAATAATTTAAATCCTGGGGAAGGGCTCCGGATTTAAATTATTTAAATTATTTAATTCCCGGGGCCCTGGACCCCCGGGGACCCCTCCCCTTCAGGATTTAAATTATTTAAATTATTTAAATTATTTAAATTATTTAATTCCCGGCCCCATTTAAATAATTTAAATAATTTAAATAATTTAAATCCTGGCCGGGGGGGTTCCCGGGGGCCCCGGGCCCCAGGATTTAAATAATTTAAATAATTTAAATCCTGGGGAAGGGCTCCGGATTTAAATTATTTAAATTATTTAATTCCCGGGGCCCTGGACCCCCGGGGACCCCTCCCCTTCAGGATTTAAATTATTTAAATTATTTAAATTATTTAATTCCCGGCCCATTTAAATAATTTAAATAATTTAAATAATTTAAATCCTGGCCGGGGGGGTTCCCGGGGGCCCCGGGCCCCAGGATTTAAATAATTTAAATAATTTAAATCCTGGGGAAGGGCTCCGGATTTAAATTATTTAAATTATTTAATTCCCGGGGCCCTGGACCCCCGGGGACCCCTCCCCTTCAGGATTTAAATTATTTAAATTATTTAAATTATTTAAATTATTTAAATTATTTAATTCCCGGCCCCATTTAAATAATTTAAATAATTTAAATAATTTAAATAATTTAAATAATTTAAATCCTGGCCGGGGGGGTTCCCGGGGGCCCCGGGCCCCAGGATTTAAATAATTTAAATAATTTAAATCCTGGGGAAGGGCTCCGGATTTAAATTATTTAAATTATTTAATTCCCGGGGCCCTGGACCCCCGGGGACCCCTCCCCTTCAGGATTTAAATTATTTAAATTAAATTATTTAAATTATTTAATTCCCGGCCCCATTTAAATAATTTAAATAATTTAAATAATTTAAATAATTTAAATAATTTAAATCCTGGCCGGGGGGGTTCCCGGGGGCCCCGGGCCCCAGGATTTAAATAATTTAAATAATTTAAATCCTGGGGAAGGGCTCCGGATTTAAATTATTTAAATTATTTAATTCCCGGGGCCCTGGACCCCCGGGGACCCCTCCCCTTCAGGATTTAAATTATTTAAATTATTTAAATTATTTAAATTATTTAATTCCCGGCCCCATTTAAATAATTTAAATAATTTAAATAATTTAAATCCTGGCCGGGGGGGTTCCCGGGGGCCCCGGGCCCCAGGATTTAAATAATTTAAATAATTTAAATCCTGGGGAAGGGCTCCGGATTTAAATTATTTAAATTATTTAATTCCCGGGGCCCTGGACCCCCGGGGACCCCTCCCCTTCAGGATTTAAATTATTTAAATCATCTTTATCATCTTCATCATCTTCATCATCTTCATCATCTTCATCATCTTCTTCATCTTCTTCATCTTCATCATCTTCTTCATCTCCATCATCTTCTCATCTTCATCATCTTCATCATCTCTCATCATCTTCATCATCTTCATCATCTTCATCATCTTCATCATCTTCATCATCTTCATCATCTTCATCATCTTCATCATCTTCATCATCTTCATCCTCTTCATCCTCTTCATCATCTTCATCATCTTCATCATCTTCATCACACCCTCCAGCACAATATTGTACAGTACTTACGGGGGCTTTGTTACCTCTAACAGCCTTGTCGTGACTTGTTACACGCAACATGCTACAACATTCATGCGATGCTGCACACTGAGTTATGAACCAAAGATTCTCCGAACAAGCGCTTCGAAACACATGTCCGGCATTCCCGTCAGGATACGCTGCCGACTCTGCGATCCCTTTCATCGCAATCGCGAAGGCGAGGACGCTTGCATGCATCAGTTGTTAGTAGTGCTGCTACAGTCGTGCGCGATGTCATTGGTAGCGGATTGACGGAATAACGCAATTTGGGTCGGCTCGAGAACCTGAGCTCTTGCCTGCCATCCGAAATTTCCTTGCTCGCAATGCCTTCGACTGGCTCATCGGTTCGCCTTGGCCTGGGGGTCATGAAGGCTAAGTATCTGCAGAAGAAAGGCGCCATTCGAGAAGATCATAAAAAACTGCGGAGTCTCCTGGTCTCCATAAAGAAGAAGGAGCAGGAGTTAGACGAGATGGAAGAAAGTCGGTCGTCTTCTTTCTCGTCTGGTTCTCCTGTGCTGCCTGGGAGCTCAAGTGAGGACGAGAAGGAAGACAAGGCACCGGACGGAAGCAGCAAGGCGAAGGTCTCGGGTGAGTCGCCAGGAGGGGGGAAGGAGGTGGCCAAGACACCGCCCCCCAAAACCAGCCCACCCCCACCTACCCCCAACCCCGGTACTGGGAGACGAGCTCCTGGCGCGCCAAAGGCGGCTCAGGCAGCAAGTATACAGAGGGCAAGCCGGAGGGAAGAAAAGTCCGCGAACGCAGACCTTTCATCCCTCCCGGCGAGCCCGCTCCCAATCACAAGGGTAAGCCTGATGCGAGCGGCCAGCTGTATCCAGGGTTTCCTAAGGAAGACCCGCGACACTGCGAGGCCTGCGAGCAGCTACGGCGGGGTTTTCAAAACGCCACGAGGCCGCACCGACCCAGCGTCGGCGTGTGTGCCTGGGCGCTGTACTCCCGTAAGTCCTAGATGCGAAGGCATCTATAAAAGGAGCGTCTGCTTGGATTGGCGGACAGAGCACGTTCTGCAAGTGTGGACCAGAACTCACAAGAGCCTTGTGGCAGGTGAACCGGCCCGGAGATGGAGTGGCAGGCCGGTCGGGTGGTGCTGTCGTGTAGCAGTGAAGCGCATGGATGTAAGCATAGCAAACACCAACGGCATGGCGATAACCCGAGACCGTAACTAGGGTACGGGGTCCTTAAGAGTAGTATCATCTGTACATATGTACAGGAAGGAACTCTGAAGGAATCCCTTCAAAAACTACATGGCCTCCATTCGGCGGGCTTATAGGGCAGGGAGGTCAAGTTCTTTCGCCATTTGCCTGCGTGAATCCCGAGCTTGGACGGCTCGACATGTAGCCCAAATCAGCCAGGGTCAGACATGCTCTCTAGAGAAGAACGACAAAACTCAGCAGCGAGCATATCCGACCCGACGAATAGGGTCGGTCACGCTGGATCCAGGAGGGCCCTAAGAATATCGTGGGTCTCATGCGTCTAATATATCAACATACAGTCTGTCTCTTTAGTTGCCAGAGATAGAGCACGTTGGGTTTCTGTAGTTAATACATCAAGCCGCAAACCCCCGCAGCGCTTCGTAACGGTCGGAGCAGACGGGACCTACACAGATCCCTGCGCTAAAAAGAAACAGTTTGTCTCTATGGGATCTGTAAGATGGCGTGCTCTTTGATGAAGAACATAGTGGATCAGCAGCTATAGCATGAAACGCTAGCATGCAGATCCGACGATGTAAGTCGGGCCTATCTTACAGCACGAGGTTGGACGGACGATCACAATTTCGCGAGATGATCGGTGTGCCCGAGCTCGTTTATCTTAACATGACAGGTCTGAGAGTCATGTCAGTGCAAGTCTGCGTGTTGCAACGGAGTATTGGACGGCCATCCGGCGGACAACTCGCTGCTGTCACTGTCGCTTGCACTAGGGTGAGCTCTGTTGCCGTTATAGAGTGTTCTTGGCTCAAGCTTACACAGCACTTCCTTTCCACGCAGATTCTCGTGTGCCTTGACTGCATACTGCAAGAATATCATAACAACTCCGCACCGACATGACACTGCAGGACCATGATTTGCTTCTCAGCATGCCCGTGGTTCGCGGACGACGCGCACGAAGCCCAAGTTGCGGCATGGTAGACTTATCCACAAACAAGCTGACACAAGGGTGGAACACCGTCCTCCCACCGTGCAGCCGTCTGGGACGCGCAACTCGATCGTATGCTGCTATCCATTTGTATGTGCACATTGATGAACTTTGTTCTGGATATCATCGAAGGTGTCTTCGTGCCGTACCAAAATCGCTGGGTGAGGCAGTCGCGTGATATCTGCGTAGGCTAGAGAAGCGCGAACGGGCAGTATGTGGTATGGCAGGATCGACAAGCCAGAGAAGGACGATCCGTCGGCGCCACAGTTATGTATAAAGACTGGGAATCCCATGAGTATTTCCCGGGCAAGACTCCAACTCCCACATACCTTCTGTTTCAGGTCAGCAACGCTGGACGACTGCCGCCGGCAGCGGGTGGAGCGACCTTCTCAATCGGATCGAAGCACAATGCAGCGTTA